CTCTTTGCTTCTTCCGGCGCCCGCCTTTCCGCCCCGCTTTCTGTTCCCGGCTGCGCGCCCCGCTCTGCGGCCCGAGGGGGCTTTAAGAGCGGCTGTTCGGGCCGTGCTGGCGAGCGGGGGCCGCCCTCCGTGTGTCACTGCAGCCCTTCGGTGTGTGCATCCCCCGACAGCCGGCCCCTGTGCCCCCCCCCGGTGTTGGCAGCGGCCGTGCCCCCTCCACAGTTCTCATTTTCTTGTGGAAAAGTTGGGTTTTTTTAAGAGACGCTCATTCGTGGGAAGCTGGGCGGTGTGGGAAAAGCACGCTTGAAAAAAAAAAAAACGGAGCAAAAGAAATCCCAGGAAGGAGCATTTGTGCTTTGGAAGTGCACCCCTGCGAGGGGCAGCATGTGGCACTGGGCAGCCCTGGGTGTTACACGGAGGGGGTCAGGTCGGTAGGTGTGAGAGTGGAAGGTTTTCACGTTAATCTTATTAGGACTGTGCCTTCTGCACTTCACAAAGTTTTCTGCTTATATCCGGGTTGGGAGTACAAAATAAGAAGCTCTCATTCTGATAACTTTTAAGAAGTGTGGTACACTGTTACCCTGGAGTTGATGGCTTTGTACGCCCTGGTCACTGTAATCCGGAGGTTTGGCTTCCTCACGGGACAAGTGCTACCAGAATATTGCTGCTGAGAGGAAAACCCAAGGTTCCATCCACAAAATTCAAATGCAGGCCCAGGAAGTATATGCTGGGAACTTGGCCAGGGGGTTCCTGGTTGCTTAGCTGCCTTTTGTTCCCAAACTTGAATGGCTGCTCTGGAGCTGAGCTGTGGTTTCTACTCATGGATAGTGAGAGTGTCACTCTCATGGTGTTGTTCTGCTGTCTCAACAGCTGACATTTGTCTCCATAATGCCAAGGTCTGCTTGGCTCCTGGAAAAGACCAGATGTGCTTTCCTTTTCTGTTCCTACTGCTCTGAACTATTTTTGTGCCAGGAGAGAGTACAGGGGAGACATTTCCTCAGGGTCAGGCTTCTTGACTTGTGGGGTGTTTGTTATTCACCCTGCTCTCAAGGCTGAAAATAAGGGTGGAAAGGGACTACTCTTACACAAATGTCAACACTGGCCCTTCACTTAAATAATTTTTAGTCTTCCATGGTTGCTCTCAGTGTATTCTTTGGGCAGCAATTCTTTCATTTCCCAACAGCTAAGTAGACCTGGTTCTTTCGGTAGTATTTTGTGGGATGGACTCACCAGTCTTCTCACCATCTTAGGGATGGGAACTACTCTTCCACTTTGAATTTGCATAGATCAGGATCAGAATGGAAGTCTGCATTCCAAATGGGGTCTTGCTGTTGCCTTAGGTGAAGTAGGGAAAAAAAGTTCAAGATTCATTGTATATGCCTTAATATTAGTCAGGGTCATTAAAAATGTTAAAAGACATGAATCCGAGTACATAGAGAGGAATTTTTAATAGTAACCTCAGCTTGATGCCTCCCAGTTTTTGCACATTATTGATGCTGTCCTTTGGCCAGTTCTGTACCACCTTTGATACTAAGTCCTATCTTTTGCATCATAAGTAATAATTTCTCATGTGGCATTAGATGATATCCTTTATTCAGAAACTAGACTTTTAAGAAAATGTAGGGTTTTGCTTGATTGATCTGTTTTTATGGAAAGTGCGCTGCTGGGCTTTCTTCTAGTTATGTCTTTATTTTTCCTCCATGTCTTTATTTTTTACTTTTGCACATTTAAATATTCTGGTTGATGGGGTCATAATCTTTCAGATCTCTCTGCCTCATATGGGCCTTGAGTTTATTATTTTTCAGCAGATGGTACCACCCCTGTTTTTATTACATAGGTTTCAGTTATGTATAGATCCAGGAAATAAAATAACATTCTTTCACAACCTGGGCTGAATATGATTCTGCATCTCTGTGGCTTCTGGGCCAGGCCTAGTACGTAGTGGGTGACTTCCGTTTTCATCATTTAATTCTTTAAGTTTTCTTTTTGCTCCTGTGTTAAATATCATTAAAACCAAGGCAAAATATTCCATTGTGTTTGGGACATAGATTTGTTAGTTTTCACATTTTGGTTGATTTACACTACATCCATTGATTTCCTCCATTTTCGCTTTATTTGTGACCTAAGTCTTGTCCAGATTTCTCATTCATTTTCCTGTTCTTTTACAGTGCTCTGCATATTCCTCGATGTTCTTTAAAACCTATCCACTTGTGTCAGAAGTTCTGTCCTCCTTGTTTTTCCCTTGCTTTAGGATACAGATGGGTTGTGCTCCTTTTGACTTAATGAAATTCCAAGACCACCTCTGATCTGAGTCCACCAGCTCTTTGGTTTATCTCACTGCTAGTTTTCTTCTTTTCTGAGAGGCTGCTCTTCTGAAATGGAAAGCCTAACTTAAAAACTAAAGGGGGGGTTTTGTTTGGTTTATCGTGCCATTAATTGAAATTGAATAATTTATCATTGCTCAGAATGAGATTTCATTGTTATTTGTGGTTTTGAGACTAACTTTAGTGTCTACCTTTGCTGCTGGCATTTAGATTGTTCATGTAACAACAGAAAGAAATTCACATTATTCTTTGTGTCATGGCTACATGGAGAATTCACAAATGTGGCAGTGAAGGTAGGTAAATCTTTAAACATAAAGATAAATTAATAGAATTGTGAATTATTGCCAGATAAGAAGACTAAAATGGAATTTCTTCACACTGAGAAGATTATTTTTGCAATTCTTGAGTCCAAAATGCTGTTGTGTCTGGAAGCTTACACTCAGCAGAAGCCAATACTGTCCATTGCCCTTCATAGATAACTCTTCTTGTTTTGATGATAATGGGCAATTAAAGGGATTTTTCCAGGCTTACCTTATTCATTGGTCACATCTGCAGCTACAGTTTTAGGACTGCATATAATAAATGACACAGAGGGTTGTGGATCAATAGAATTCTGTTCCTTTCCATGAGATTAATTCAGTGAGTTCTTTATGGCTGTTTGTGATGTCCCAGCAATAGGGCTGGTACACATTTTCCATCATCCTGGGAACTTCCAGCAGAGAAGTCCAGGATAATGCTGTCCTAGACAGTTCTCATAGTCCTCCGGGTTGCTTGTAAGGTCAGTTAATTGCAGCATTGATATCCCTCTTCCTTAGCTGATCCATGGATAATACTATTACAGTCTTTAAAATAGCCTCTCATCCTGCCTGAATAGTTTGCAGTCAGATAAGAGCTTCAGTTTGTCTCCCAAGAGTTACTCTGCTCCATGCACCGCATATGACAGAATAGGTGTCACCAACTGCAGATATACACGTGTCACTCTTTTTGGAGCTGGTTTAAAGTTACGTGGACATGCAGATTTGGTGCTGTTCCAACCCAGGCAATGAACTGTGCAGTTTATCTCCAGGGCATTAGAATCACAGGTTTCCACATGTGCTATATGGGCCCACATGCTCATTTTTAAGAATTTGTTTTCTTTTACAGGGTAGCAAGGAGAAAATGGCACCTGTTGTTTGCAGCTTTGCCCTCTCCAACATCTTCAAATCTCTCACTTTTCACCTCAACAAATTGGCAAATATTGGTTGCCTTCTCTGAGGTGAAAGGCACAAAACTCCACTAAAAGTGTTTATAAGTTCTACAGAAATGTGGAGGAGAAAAGCGAGAACTAAAGCTACTATGACTTGTAGTATGGAGTTTGGGGGCATCTTGCCTTGTATGAATGAAATCTGTCTCTCTCACTCCTATTCACAGTTGCAACTGCTTGAGTGTCATACAAGCTGTTTAATGCTTGACAGGCTGTTTCAATTGGGTTATGTATTATTCTGGCACTTTTCTTGCAGATTTGAAGCCCTCATTTACACAGAGAGGAAACCTCTTTTTTCCTCCTTGGATATTTATTAGTAGAAACCCAATTCTTTTAGTTAATAATTTATCACACATTATTTTCTATTATTTCTTTTACCTGAGGCTGTTTTTCTGCTGTTCATATGGTGTTCTTTTAAATCCAGTTAGAATTTCTCAAGTAAAACGTTCATTTGGGAGTAGGAGACTGTAACCAAACCACTTATTTTAATTCCTGTCACTCTCCTCCTTTGTCTTCCTACCTGACAATTGAAAGTCTGAACACTTTCTCCAGCAACTTTATGTTGGAAGAGACTACCTCATATTTATAGTACTGAGACAAAAATCGAGCAGGAGACCTGAAGTGAAAGGTGTCAGTTCTTTGGGCTGGGTGATAGAATGAAGCCACACTGCTTGGAGAAAATAGGAAATAGTTTTGCAATGAGTTGTGTACATCCTTGCAATTAGAGCATAAGAAAAAATGTGTGGTGTTCATCAGAGCTTTAGAAACATACCAACTTCTTACTTAAAGAATAAGAATTGTGCAGAGAAAGTTGAGAAATTAGTGGCAATATCTGGCAGATAATGAGAAGCCTTCCTGCCTTGAGTACCCTCCAAGATGGCCAAACTTCCCAGAGAAATCGTATGTCTGGTAGTAATGGAACAACAATTGCTTTTTCTTGTTTACATATTAGAACACAAAGTTATTATAACATTTGCACATAAACTTACTCTTTCTGGTGGCTAGACAGAGTATGGATATCTAAGCATGTACATTTACCAGCTTCATTCTGTAGTTAGGCTAAAGTTTGGATGGGGTTTTGTGTGTTGGCATGACATAGACTTCATTCTACATGACTCTTCATATAGAAGATGATTCTCTCTCACATAGTCAGTGCATGCCTTTAACTGTATTAACCTGGCTATTAGGTTTCAGTTTTGGTTGAAGACAATGGAGTGTGTTTACTTAAGCAAGATGAATTTGGTCGTGGTTATTTTAAAATGGTGACTGTTTTTCCTGATCATTCTGTACAAATCGAATTGCTTTAGAGAAGAAATTTTTTCACTCTAGTCTGTTATAATCTGACTCTTAGATATCAACCATTTCAGTCCTGACTGTTTCATTTTTATCTTGAAAACAGCCATTACTTCTTTATCTGAAGTTCAGTTTGTTTAATGAGTGTGTTACTCTTATAGATAACTTGTCCTGGAGTGCTGCTGAAAGACAAAGAGGAACTTTATCTCAGTGTCTTTGTACTTGGGCAGTGTAAAAAAACTCAGTGTGTCCCTGCGGTGTTTCCACTCTTCTTTCAAGAAAAACTAGTATTTGAAAAGGTAAGATATGTCAAGAGCTAGTACAACTCAAATAAACCCCATCCCAAATTCCACAAAAACCATCTGCAAAACCCATGAACTCAAGCAATCATACTGAGGATGGCACAGTATTTTAACTGCTGCTTCCCTTCAGCACAAAGGAGATGTGTGCCTGTATTATCCACATGCATACTAAAGATTATAATGTATGATGAGACTTCTTAGGTGTTTGTTCCTTCTTTTGTGAACTGTCCTTTCTCAGCATCTATTTTGCTAGTTTGGAAGGAACTGCATGTTGCTGTTCTAAAAATTATGGCAAAGTGAAGAACAAAGACCATATAATATAGGAGACTCAATTTAGTAGAAGGATAGAATAGCAACTCAAGCCTTTTTGGTGACATCTTACTCCCTTTGAGATACTTTTTTCAGGGTTTGTCACCAGAATTCCCAGATTGATACTCTGGCCCTATAATTTATAGTTGTTTATCACATATTTGAGTCCCTACTAGCTTCATTATTAGTACCACAGGAATAATGAAACACAGTATCTCACAGATATGATCTGACTTCTTGACTACCTATGAATAATAATACTTTACCCTCTCTAGTTCTTTTCCTTTAAGCATCCCCCAGCACTTTGAAAACCAGGCTGAGTAAACATCAGTGATGCTCTGGTGAAGTGGGTAAGAAGCAAACAGTGATAATTCCACTGGCTACTGAAGAGTAAGAAAAACCATCATTCTTTAAAGGCAGACATACCACAAACTACTTAAGGGAAATGTACTGAATACTGTTTTCAGTGTAATTTAGGGAACCTCCAAGACACCATCTACTTACGAAAGAAGATGGACAAGAAAGCTGACAGTAATATCTGTCTTCTCACAAATAGCTATTGATTAGGTCTAGATACTTGTGGAGCACCAGTACTTTTTGTTTTTTAATGTTTAGTACCTTGAATAGCAGTGTGATTTACACCACTCTGCTGAGACTTTTATACAGAATTAGGGGGAAATCTATTACCTGCTGAATATCCAGTGCAACATCTTTCCCTATTCCTTGCCATCTATTCATGTGAGATTCAGGTTGAAAAAAAAAACCTGACCGGGAGCTTGTACATGAAGAGTCACTTCCATGAAAATTAAGCTTAAAGCATTACCAATAAATTAAAGAATATATTATTCATCTATCAGAATTGTAGTACTTTAAGCAATTCATCTTTTTCTCTTGAAATTTTCTTAGACAATACTTACCACTACGTCTTCAACTCTTTACAATACCTCATAATTTAAATATGGAGAGGTAACTCCTAATGGTTGGAAAGCATATAACGACAATTGCTGGCTTTCAATGAATTTGATCATGTTCCAAATGATAATTGCAGTATCCTTTATTTTTCCAGTAGGGATAGGGCTCTTGAGAACCATCTTGACAAGGAAGAATATTGATTTTGGGGTTTTTTTTTCCTTCTCTTTCCCCAGAAGTCCATCTAATTATTTTGACTGTGCCATTGTTATTATTTATTAATTTCTTTTTCAGGAATTTGCTAATACAGTTGATCCTGGAGACCTTGTGAAGTTACTGGAATGTAGGTTCTGCTTTTTATGTATACTATGTTATATCCATTAATGTCATGCATGTGTGGGCTCTAAAGGCTTTTGGGAGGTTTAAAGTATGTGGTAGTTTTTCTGTCAGGAGCCTGCTCTCTGAATAGCTAGTGGGTAAGCATTTTGTTGTCTAACAAAATGCCTCTAGAAATGTGTGCTACATGCTTTAGAACAGGGAGAGGGTAAAAAGTCATAATTGATTGGAAATTCAGCTGGTTATCCAAATAGGTAATTCGTTCCTTTTTATAGTTATTTGTTTGATTAGTTTTCAAATTATATAAGCATAAACCTCCAATTTTTGAAAAATTATTCATTTCATTATTCATTCATCAGAAAATTATGTCTTGCCACATGTGGAGTATAATGAATTGTAGTGAGAAAACACTGACCCTGAATTCAAACTCCAGGAATATGCACCTTCATACTGAGAGTTATCTGAAAAGTGGGCAAAGCTTACATAATCTTTAAAAGAGGACAAACCTGGCAGCAGATAGAACTTACCAAGTTCTAAGTCAAGTTAGAGTTGTCATTTGTATGCTGCTAATGCCATTGTGTTCATCTCTGATTTTATCCAAGCTGCTTTTAATTTTCTGTTATTGTTGGTGTGATGGAAGTAGTACAGCAATGTATACAGTGCTGTGAAGCTTAAATCAGGGATCTGGGTTTTTTGGGCTTTGACTATGAGAATTACTTTTCCTTTTAGGTTTGGGTTGGGTTTTTTTTAACTCATGAAAAAACTTTTTTCCCTTCTAGTTGACACAGCAGTACTTGAACTAATACAGCTCGTTCCTCCAGGTATTGTATCAGTCTCTTCATAAATTATGCAGTTTAATAGGTGAATTTCCATGAGGACATTGCCCATTACAGCACAATCACTTTTTCCAACACACAAACAACATAGAAAACTCTTCAACAAGTAGTCCTCTGAATATAAAATGTTAATAGATCAAGAGGATCTCATTCTTGAAAGAGAATAATAACTGCATATTGAAATGTACCATAGTCAGACTTAGGAAAGTGATAATATTTTTAAAACGGAAAATAAACGGAAATCATCCAGTGCATACTTATTAACTACATCACAATTCACTTGCAAAGATGCTTTCTGTGAAATTTCAGAGTGCATAATCTTGTTCTCAGAATGACATTTTTTTTCTTCCATTTTAATGGTGACCATTGGGAAAACTCTTATCCTCACTATAAGTATTACAGGTCTCTTGGGATATCTGAAGATAATAAATAGCGATTTGTCATACTTCTGTTATTGGTTTGTGTGATTATAAAAATCTATTTTAATGAAATTCAAGTGTTCCCATGAATAATGTAAATCTGCATTTTATTGGAAATAAAGTCAAGTTTTAAAGAGGACTCATTTGGAAACTGTGGTATTAAAAGCACTCTCAGTCACTTGTCCTTAGTACTTTCAAGGAAACAATCGCTTCTCTCAGGTGACTCGCCAGACTGTTTACTTGAAGAAATGCACTGAATGGGGATTATTTTTTTTTTATATATGGGAGAGTAAAAGATCTTGCATAAGGAATTTATTTTCAGGGGTCAGAGATAGGTGTGATACACTTCAACAAGATGGCTGCAATAGCACAAGTTAAATTTTTTTATAATATAAATTCAAGGCTTTCCCTCTAAGCAAAATATATTTATTTTTTTAAAGTAGCAAACCAGGATATTGACAAAATCTTGGGGTAGTTATTTTGATGTTGCTTGTGTTACTTTCTTGCCACTACTGTGATGTGGAATGATACAGTATTTCATAAGGGATTGGTTGCCATTAAAAAATACTGGTTTCTTCTGTGGCATGGAAAGGAAAGAAAGAAGAAACTACTGAAGAGTTGCCTAGAGAAAACTTCTCATATATCTCTTATAAAACAGTTAACACAATCTTCTTTAGTTTTTTTTTACAATAACATCAAAACATAGTTTCCTAGTAGATTCTGCATGTTTCTGCTGCTGATTTAACTTGATGAGGTTATTTCCTGGTGTGATAGGAGTTTTGGAACCATGCTGAAAGTTTGTAAAGAGCAAAATTTATCCTGGTTTCAGCGTGACTCTGTGTGTGGTGTCTATGCTATACGGCTTTGTCTATTTTCCAATTAAAGTATATATTATTTTCTTTTCAGTAGGAAGAATTCTAGCTACGTATGAAGAAAATACAAGAGATTTCCTGTTCCCTGACCCTAAGCTTACCCGTGGGCACCGTGGTTTAGAGCGTGAGATTTTAATGAAGAGGTCCTCTTCTTTTACAGTGAGTGAATGTCTGTGGATTGTATTTATGACACAGTCTGTTTCTCTGAAGAAACCCCTTGAACTGCTTCAAATGAAAAGCGATTACTTCTGACAGGTTTTGCCATTTTAGGTGTTGAATGTACAAATCCACGGCTGAACTTTGGTGAAAGTATAATCTTTTCTCAAAATGCTTCAAGGAATTATTTAATGTGAAAAAGTAAGTTTCCACTTGGTTTGCAGTGTGGCACCATGACATGTCTCCATTCAGTTTAATCTGTGGTGCAGCTGGAGTGGTGAAGGGATGCAGGAGAAGAGGGAGATGTCATGTAGACTGCATGATTCTCAACAGATAAACCACATAACCCTCCTCCTCAGTCTCTGTAGCATTTTTCAGACCATTTTGGAACTGTTTTGGACTATGACAGTCACTACAAATTTACAGTGCTATCCCATCTGACCCATGGACCTCCCTGAAGTGCAAGGTTACCAATAAAATAGTAAGTTACTGAAATTTAGCTCAATGCTGCATAATTGCTTTTATGTTCCCAAACCTGTTTGTTGAGGTCTGTTCAGGTCATTCACACTCATTTAGTAACTTGCTTTTTCTACAGTTTCAAAAAAGCTATGATAAACAACAGATAATTGGCAGAATGAGTGCAATGAATTAATGTTAATTTTCTGGAGATAAGGACTCAAGTACCTATTAAATGAAAATGAATTCATCTCACACTGCCCTTTCATAAAGTTTGGCTGTTGAATCTTAAGTGTCAGCAGAATAACTCAGGAAGGCTCATTAATGATGGTGGTGATGGTGTGTTTGGGGATTTGTTTTTGTGTGGTCTCTTTTGGTTAAGTTTTACTAATGGATTGGCAGGACATTTGGATTGGGAAGATAGGGACTCAGTTGTCCTGTCTGTTATGATTAGACTAAAAGCACATGGCAGGAGGGAAATGCTGATTAAAGGTCACTGGTATCTTTTAGCTGGTGTAATCTTTCCCTTGCAAGGGCAGCCTGGAAACTGCCCAGTCACTTGCAATTAAAAGTGCTAATTTGGTGTCTAATGCTGTGTTACATTTGAATGCATTAAAACTGTGATTTTTGTGCTACAAAACGTATGATTCTGCAGCCCCTGCAAAAACAGCCATTATTTTTTGGCCACAGCACCTCCTTGAGATGGCTCATCCTACACATGGTAGTGGTGGCTCGGGAGATGCAGTGGAGCTGTTTTGCTTTGATGCTGCTTATAGAATAGGTACTTTCCCGGTGTTGAGAAATAAGAGGGAGGTAGTGATAAATGAGGTGGTATTAGCTAAATGCTTTTAGATTTTTTGTGAACATGATACAATTAGTCTCTGTAGAAGCAGAGCCACTAGAGAAGTTTGAGGGGTTTTTTGAGAGACTAAGTTCTTTAGCACAAAGGTTATGTATTTTCCAATAAAGAGAAGGTACCATGGTTTGTGAGCTTTGAGAAGATGTGGTCAGAGTGATTTGGATATGTAGCTGAATGATGGCACTGTAGTAGCTTTAAAAGGTTGATGTAAGACACGAATGTACTTCCATGTCCTTGGGAGCAGCATAAATTAAATCCATCTCTGCACTGGAACAGGGACTGCAGAAGCACCTGTTGCTCCATTCCATCTCCATTCCATCTCCATTGCAGTAAGTACAGTTTGAGGAAGGATTTTGGCATAATGACTCCCTTTTTGGGAATAATGCAGAAGGTGTGTTTGATGGCGTTGGAGGGAGGCTCCCAAGAGGAATTTGTTCCTCTCCTTACTTGCTATATGGGATAACTGTGAGAGGAGTTTTACCTCCAGTAGAAATGTAGTCTCCAATGCCTCCATCTTCCAGTGTTCCCTGAGCTTTACTGGCAAGTATCCCCTGCTAACTTTGTCGGCACGAAGCACTGAATGTGAATGATAAGCAAAAGGGAAATGTTAAACAAGGTCGTGAGAACCTTCACATTATTCTTATGCTAGTGAGGCCATGTTCTTCCCACATGAAAAGTTATTTATAGCTAGCTGAGATGCTGAATATTTTTGACTGGCAGCTGTGCTTCAGTGGCACTTTGATTCCCCATAAATTTGTCTTTTATTAGAAAAATAAAGGTAGCAACAGCGAGGTTACGGTTGTGGAGTTCAGATAGGCAGCGACAAGCAGTGTCTGCTTAACACTGCTAATCTGCCAGTTGGAAGGAATCCCAAGTTGAGAGGATCAGAACTCCTCCAGAAATCTGGCACTTGGCTGATAATGTCTCTGGCTAAATGTCTTATGAGGCTTACAAACTCAATACGCACACAAGACGTGCCTCGAGTTATCTCTCCTGGTCCAGTGTTGCCCAGCTGAGGCTCTTGCTGGCTCTTCTGTATTTCTCTGCAACCCTTGCCTTTCAGAATATGTTTATGCCTTGACTGTGGTAGTGACTTCTTACAGATGTTCTTATCTCCATTCCCCACCCTCATGCAGTATTTGCCATGTTACTTAAAGCAGTTTCTTTTTAGTTATGCTATCTCTCATTAGCATGCTAGTATAAGACCTGTTACATTCATACATATTTTTTTAAGCTACAGAGTTGTACTTACACTCCTTACAGTCAAATGCACATATTAAACGTGGGTTTGAACTTTTCTTCTTCTAAATATCTTCAGTTTTTCCATGATCAGATTAGTGTTATGCCCATATCACTTCTGATAAATGACTGGTACAGCAGTACTGGCAAGCCTGCTCAGGCCTGCAGACATCACTAAGCCAGAGGCAGAAGAATAGATCCCAAAAACTTTCTGGCTGGATTTTCATTTCCAGGTGTCTTTGGGGCTATACAAGAGTCTTTACATAATACTTTCAATACATATATTGAATATCCTTCAGCAATCCTGAGTTTGGGAACTGTGGAAATCAGAAGAACTCCTCTGATAGCTTCTGACTTGTAAGTTACTTTCAGCATATCCATGCCTGTGTATGCAAGGGCTGCCATCCTTTATTCCCTCTCCACAAACTATTTCTTCAAAGAAACCATGGATTTGTGCTTTTTTTTTCTTTTTAGCTATGAGCATTTAACAATTTTGTAATCATTTTCAGTCTCTGTAAAAGCAGTAGGTGCTCTATTGTTGCATTTTATAGTAGACTTTCTGATTCTGATGTGTCCTTTCTTACATTGTTGATAGCACTTGACAATTCATTAGTGATAAAAATGAGTTGATTAAAGATGATCAGTTTAAAACCTCTTTTATATGCCATAACTTGACTTGATTGAATCCTGGACTCTGTTAATTGCTATGACTGAGCTTTCTTGGCATTTTTGTCATTTCATTTCCATAATGTAACCTGTGGCTGGACCATATTCCCTGGTGGGAAATCAGTGTGTGCTTAGGCGGGTGGTGGAGGATAGTTTGGTTCAGCAATAGACTTCACTCATGGAGTTCCTGCTAATTCTTAGGAATGTGGGACAGTGTCACAAACAGACCGGCTCCTTTTCACATCTCAGTGATTTCGTGTGTTCATGTGCACAAATGCCATGCACACAGATGCCTCAGGCAGCAAACTCTGTCCATGTTGAAAGAAGACAGAGTGGAAATTTCTAGGGGCACTTGATTCTCTCTTTGCTTCTGCAGAGCAGCATGCACATGTATGATTCCCACTTGTTTATAGCATATGTGTCATTTAGTTCTTTTATGCCTTTTTTAATGCCTCTGTTTTGGGAAATAATGCCCGTGTGTCGTAATCCCTGCCATTCACACCCAGTAAATTTTGTATATGTTGCCCAATTCTATCTAAATTTAACAAGAAATAGAGCCCCTGAGGTATTATGTTCCTAGCCATGGCTGCAGTGAAACAAGGTGAGTGGAACAGAAACTGTTGGCCACATAAAAAGGGAACTGGCCACGTAAATGCTGGCCATGAGTATGTGTGTGCTGTGATTGACCAGGAGGCCCAGTTGGACCCCACTGATTCCAAGCTGGTCAAAGTCGGGCTGCCACATGGGCAAGAGGGGATTGAGAAGAGATGGAACGTGGTTACAGACCAAGGGAGACAATCCACAGAAATCAGACTGCTCTAATGATTACAGAATGAAGGGTATTCTTAGTCCTGCTGTTGCAAATGAATAGTTATTTGCAGCGTGATTGACTAATTAAACAAAATGTTTTTACAGAAAAAAGTGGCACAACTGAGACTATTCATAAATAAGTTTACAAAGTTAGCATTGTTGAAACTCCTAGAGCATGACTGAAATTTTTATTGATGCTATGTAGCATGGCATGAAAAATCTTTAAAAATGCTTTTGATAAAAAAAATGTATTGAAATAAAAGTCAGACCTTAATTGTTGTACGAAAGAAGTATAATCATCTGTAATTGAATTGTCAGAAATGCAAATGTTAGCATCTTGACATTTGCCATTGCTGTTCTGTCTTTTCTAATTATCTTTATTAAAGGCTGAAATTAACAAAGGAAATGTCTGAAAATTAGGAATAGTTTGTTACATTAGGTGACATTTACCTCTTTGATACCATTTATCTTCAGTTGGAGCTTGATGTTCAATTATTGTCTCTCTTCTAGGGAATTGCACCAAAACTGAGATTTTCTACAATCTCCCTTATTGCAGAAAGTCTGTTAAGCTCAGGAAGGAGTCACATACAGGTTAGCATAATTTAATTGTTTGCAATTTAATTTCCAGATTTAATATTGATAGCCTTGCTTCCAATTTTTGCATGTGCTGCTCACTTCAAACTTTTCTCATTCTTCTGTTGTGGTTAAAGCAGTTATCATGGGTGCTTGACAACTTGATTAAATTTTTAATCAAGTATGAGTAAAGAGTGAGTTTGGTGCATGACAGTAAATGCTGAGAGTTCCTTGAATCTGAAACAATTATCAGCTGCTGAGTTCTGTGATCAGCTGAAGTGTCAGTCCCTGGTGTATTTGTAGGTGGGAAGATGGCTTCTCACCATTTGTTACAGACACTTAAAATTAAGGACAATGAAAACGAGGTGAAGTCAGACAAGGTACATTATTAAAACCAAACCAATTAATTTAATTGTTTTCCATAACTATATCATTAATGGTCATGGAAATGAAGATTATTTTTTTTTTGAAAAGGCTATCACGTATTTTAATCTGGAAATGCTGCTTCTGCAACAAGTGAAGTTAAAGGTGAAAAAGCACTCTTCTCTGGTCTCACAGATTGGAATTTTGGTTTGGTTTCCTGGCACAAGCTGTCATGTACAGTTACTCTTACATCCTTCTTTTTTTGCCACATTATTGAAAAATGGTGCAGCATCATTAAAATGGAATGGTTGTCAGGAAGTGTTGCATGCAAAGACACTTAGGTGAGTTTGACCTGTTTGTGGCATTTGTTAATGAGTCCAAATTTAGCAAATGAAATATATTGAGACAGAAAAAGAATTAAAAAAATCAGTGAATATTGTCATTGTCAGAAAACCAGATTCTGTGAAGGTGACTTGAATAAGGGAGTTTGATTTAAAATTTAGAATGTCCCTAAAAGTGTCTAATATGTTATGAATAGCATATCAGATTTGCTTGTGTTGTAGTGAAGATTTAGTTTCACAGCTGTTGTAAGCCAGAAGCAGCACAACCTACTTCTAATGAAACTGAAATTAATCTCAAAGAATTAGGTCCGGTTTGTGTGGACCAGTTCCATCCTCTGTCTCACTGTCAGCTGCACAAATGGTAATTCAGGCTGTGTGATGTCAAATTCAAACGGTGTTGATGCAAAACAAAGACACAACCTCAGCCTCACTCATGGTTGGGTGTAGAGAACTTGAAGGCAAGCTGGACATTTTATTTTTTGGGTTCCTGAAGTAGTACAGGCAACATGCAGATTTAAGACTAATGCCTACTAGCTTGAGCTTGAAAAAGAAGTTCTAACAGGAACAAAAGTCTTGCTATACCATTATTTTTTATCTTTTACAACCTGTGAAATTGGGCCAGATTTCACCAAAAAGCCTGATTATCCATATTGCAGTATTCAAAGTTAAAACGTGCTGCTGATTAAGTAGCCTGGTAAGGGCTGTAAAATCTAGAGGGTTAATGGCCAACAATGGTGGTATTTGTTCTAAGGTTGGACTTGATGATCTTGGATGTCTTTTCCATCTTTAATGATTCTGTTATTTGGGAAGATCTTTGGAGGATGATCTTAAAAGTTTTTGGTGGGGGGAAAGTATTTTTCTTGACTAAACTTTACTTCTTGATTATAATTCTTTAAAGAAACTAGTAAAATTCACCATGGTCCAAGAAAATATGAATTTCAGAGAATGTAATTACACTTTTTTTAGACAACTCTAAATGGATATAATTTAAACTGTTAAATAGGCTTCTATTTTAATTTGTATATGTTATTTTAGATGGTAAGAATTTTAAAAGGTTAAAATAAAAGTTTAAACTGATGGAAATATGCTTCAAATCTGTGTATGTCCAATCCAGGTAAAGTTTGTGTAAAATACACTTGTGACAAAATTCATTTTCATTTTTTACAGTCTTTGTACACTAACTGTGTAAGAAAGCTAATTGAGTAAGTATCACTTAACCTTAACATCTAACGTGTAGTAATGTGTGCTTTAACCTTCTGGTTTCAGAGAAAATGGTAAACACATTGTTTTTTAAATTGCTGTTTGATTATAGTTCTGTGAGGGGAACTTCAGATGACATGGCATCTAGTTCTGTTAAATTATTAGTTCCTTGTTTGCATTATGTTCAGTGATCTTTGTTCTACAACGCTGTCAAATCAGATAATTTCCTCTTCTTCGCTTTAGGCTGGTCTGAATGGGGTACATCGTTCAACCCCAAATGGAAAATTGCACACAAAGGTGCTGAAGAAAAACACTCTCTCACCCGAGAAAAGCAGGCACCGCTTGGCATCAAAGAACTACGAGCAGCCCACGATAGCTTCGAAATCACGCTCTCCGTCCCCGTACACCAAGAGACGGATGTGTGAACTCTCAGAAGAAGCCAGGCAGCGCCTGGCCCATTTAAACCTGGGTCCTCACGAGTTCAGAAGAGAAACCGATAAACCTCCGTTCGTAGTTAGACGGGTTTGTATTCACTCCAAAGTGCTCCCAGCTTAAGCTCAGATCAAATATTGTTCTTTCGCTAAATACCGCTCCAAAAATTCATTCAGCTCTTAGTTTAGATGAATAATTTTTCTCTCCTTAGCAGTCTGTCACATAGTGATTTAAATGTAAAATTAACTAAAATAAAATTTCTTTTATCCGCTTTAGTAACAGACAAAGATCAAATTCTTTCATGAATATCTTGGTTAAATTCTCTGAGGCGCCATTTCTTTTCTTCCAGCGCACTAGACAGGATAATAGGTGTATAAATTCAGCTTGGAAGTAATTGATATTAGTATTAAAAATTCCTGAATAAGACTTTAAAGAAAGAGTGTCTAGTCACATTATGAACAGTTACACTTCCTCTCTTTCAACTTTTTTTTTTAATGTTGGCATCCTGTGATCTTTGAAGCACTTCCCTTGCTCAGAGCTACATCTCGAACACTCTGACTTATAGTTCGTAACATAAGGACTTTTTGCCATACATGAAAAATTGTTCTGATATTAGGTACTTATTTAAAGAAATTGTGTGTAAGAGGTTTACAATGAAGGGGCTACATTTCCCAGCCACTTGGAGGATTATATACTTCTATTTATTCTTTTCCCCTCTTAATTTTTCTTCTGATTGCAACAATCCTTTGGTTTTAGTAAACCACTTTGAACGTGTAGGGGCAGAAATGGGGTTGTTCTTATCCTGTGCTATGACATTATGATTTGTCTACAGTTTTGGACATTGTCCCAGGCAGTGAGATAATCTAGTGTTTAATTTGTTTGCTTCTCACTTAATTTTTTTTTCAGTATCTGTACAAATTAATTAATAATATCTTGTCAAATTTCAGAATTCTTTTCCGAGTTTTATTCTACTTATAGGTACCTTTTAGAAATTCAGAATAGCCTTAATAAGTCATTAGTCATTTATTAATCAACTGTTTCTTTCTCTCAGATATTTTTCTTTCGACTCCTTTTATTCAATTCTTCTGGTTTTTGGTCTGTAGCTGAAGTTCACAGTTTAATTATAGCATCGTTAACACTGATTATTGATTTTCAATGCTTGGCTATGTTTGTATAAAAAATGAAAAAGCTTCTCTGTTAATTTAGCATATCCCGATTGCCATGGCCTTTCTAGACTGAGAATGCTCTTTTTAGGGCATCTTTACTGTTGAAGACTCTTTTGGCCTGGAGACTTTGTGTTACATGAAGATTAAAATTGGATTATGTCAAATGTAACTTTTTTAATTAGGAAGAGATTCAGATCTGTCTTGGTGAGATCTGAGCTGTTTAGAATAAATATGAGACACCAAGAATTGTTTAAAAAGACTGCAGACATTACAGATGAAGGATAAACTATCTGCATTTTCTTTTTTTTTTGGATAATAGGATATTCAGAGTTTTCTAGACCATTCTAGAACTGTTTTGTTTTATGAACAGTAATGCTAATAATACACACTAGCAAAGTGTTATGAAAATAGTTTTAAATAGTACTTAAAGAAGAGTAAAATATTTTAGAAAGTACTAGATGTGATCTTATGAACAAAACCAGAAAAAATAGGAATTGATACATTTGATACTGAGTATTTTAACAGTGTTTTTGCTTCAGGTTGAACAAAGAAGTCCTGGTGTTAAACTTCATACCTGGTGTTCCATGCGAGAAAGCGCAGCGGGATCCTGGGCCAAGGCAGACCATGGTCAGTATTTCCTACTATAGATCTCACTAGTGCTTTTGATTTCTGCAGTAGGTTATTTTGTTTGGGTGGGGTTTGTCATAATGTGGGGATTTTATTTATTATAAAAAAGTCAGTCTGTAATGGACAAAAAGCTGTTAGTTCTTCCTGGGAATAGGAAAAATAGTGAATAAACTACTGCTTCCAAGGGTGCCCTTGAATAATCCTTTACCTCCTGAAACTTGGAACATAGTTCTACATGATGTGAAAACAGGAGTAGAGAATACCAAAGCCAAACAGGCGAGTGCTCTGTTTCACTCCACTTGTTTTGTTGAGTGGATAGTGCAGCAAATCAGCACCACGGTTTATGGGTGTGTTGACCAGGCTTGGAGTGCTGATTATTTTGAAGTTCAAGGGCTCTGTTTCTTCAAAAATGAATACTGGTTATTTCAGCAGTATTTGTGAGTAGTGAGATCAGACTTACCATTATTAATGAGCGTCCAGGATGTGCTCCAATATCTGTTTCAGCATTCTTTGGTAACAGTAAGTGAGGGTTTAATAAAAAGTGTGGGACCAGAAATTTAAGGAAGTGCCTTAAAACTTGATTTTATTGCATGTGTCTGACAATTTGAGAATTTTAATGAGTCTCATCAGTATTTGTTTATGTTTGCTCTGCCTCATTTTTATTGCATTTCCTGACTAATTATAAATTGTTTACATCAAATCATTCTGAACAGGTTATTTTACATTTGTTGTGTGTCATAGCACTGGGTGCTGGATTGTAAAGGTTTCACATTCCCTTTGGGAACAGGCTCACCAGTCTGTGATCTCTGGGTAATGTAACAGACCTATTATCATCTGATACCACTGCATACTTACAAACTGAGTTGGTGGTTTCTGGCCAGTAGTTAGGAGACTAAAATCTACCTCAATATCCAGAGGATTTACTGGTCACCTGCCTGTGTCTTGAGGCTTATCTGTAACTTCTGAAAAAAACCAGATTCCTGGGATTAGAAATCTTAACAGACAGTAGAGTTTGGTCCTTTTTTGTTTTTCCTGGGTCACGGTGTGAGGGTTGTTCAGTACAAACTGATATAGCAGATCAAGAAGGCAGACATAATTTAATGTCAGTCCCCCAGGGTTGAGGTGCACATTGACACTGGTGAAAAATCCTAACCCAGTATGGACCTAAGAGTTTCCCAGTGTAAGTTTCCATGGGCTTCATACTCGTGTCTGTGGGTCAGTGGCGAGGGAAGGAATGCAGAGGTGATAGGAGGAGGGAGAGTTGGTCACAAGGAAACTTGTTCAGAGAGGATTAGTAAGGTAGAGTAATGTACATGAGAATTTTGGGGAATGGTAGAGCTTGATTTGATATTGATTTAGGCAATGAGTAGCATAACAAAATGTGCCACTTCTGTCTAGGCAAAAAATGGTGCATACCCTGATTCATTATTATAAACATTGTATTCCATTAAATGTGAAGTCATGGTTTTCAGCTAAAGAAGGTGATTTCCTGAAAGATACTGAGGAGACTGTTTAGAATTTCACAGGGTATAATAATAATAATAAATTGCTTTAGTTCTGTTTGGGAGGAAAAGTAAGATGCCTTGTAAAAGCTTTTCATAAAATTTAGGACATTCAAATTTCTTTTTGATTTCTTCTGACTGCACCTTTTTTTCTTTCTCCAGATCCTTCTCTTCTCAGCAGCTACAGACCCAAGAAAACTGAAGTGAGTACTGTGAAGTGCTTTTGGTAACACATTGGTTTTTTGTGAAGCTCTGAGCTTCCTAATCCTTCTTGGATTGTCGCGCATATATATTTTTGAAACTTTATCTATTTCAGTATCAAAAGCAAGAAAAAGGACACTTTAAACTGGTCTAACCCAGTTAAGGCCTGCTGATAGGTTATTTACAAACAGTAAAGGGAAACTTAGGACTCTGTAAAGATGCTTATGCCTGCTGGTACAGAACTTGGTTTTCCTTGGCATTAAGGCTTGCAACAAGACCATAGAAGAGTCTTTAAATGCACTTTGCATTTGCCTTCCCAGTCATTCTGAGAGTATTCTTCCTTCTGGAATTGTATGGAAAGGTAGCACTGGTAGAACTGGCAAGCCAGTTGTGTTATTTTTCATCCTTTCTTTTTCAGATTTTAGCTTCTTTGTGTATTAAAAGGATCTGAAGATTAATGCCAAGGTTCTTTTGGGTTTTGGTGGGCTTTATTCCTTACATCCTCATTTAGTTGTTTTTTGCCTGTGTTCCTGTAGAAATTGTGGGTTTAGGCATTTAATTATGTATGCCCTAATAGATTTCCTAATGACTGGGAAAACTGGTGATAACAGGGAGGAGGAAAGAAGGGGAATTATAAGGATAAACCTTGATATATGTTAAATGCACTTTCAGACTCTAAACTTTTATTACCAAGGATTATCAAGTTTTGTGTACCATGTGAGTCTAATATATTGTGCCACTTCTGGATTGTTCCATGGCTGTAAATGAGAAACAGTAAAGAAAATAGAGAATTTCTACTAAATATGCTAAATATCTCTTCCTTTTTTTATTTTAAGGTCACATTATCACCCCCATCCCTCTGCCCCTCCCCACCTCCTTTGCCATCCAGTGGGAAAGTAGATTGTAGGAGCAGTCATTGGAGAATGCAGAAGATAGCTGAGCTACAGGTTAATTCATCATGTTCTTGATGCCACCAATCACTTGTGATTCTCACAAAACCAGGTTTGAAGAGAATGTATCTTTCTCTTGACAGAAATATAATATAGCTTTGTTTTAGAGGAGCTGTTTCCCAAAATTGAGGAAAAAAAGCCCTGCAGCCTGGAAAGAGCTAATGAATAACCTTATTATTTTTGATCTGGTTTTGGTTTTTTCCCTCAGCTTTGGGAAAGTGCTTCTGTAAAAGTCCCCGTGCCAGGGAAAAGGGGGATAATCCATGGCAACATTTTAGTGATGTGTTTCAGGTTAAGAGGAATTATGAAAGGTTTAACTAGTATAGTGAAGAGTGAGTATAAGATGAGTAGATGGGCCTGAGTCTTCCCTCGAGGAACAGCAAATTCTGAGAAAAAAAAAGTCTTAAGAGTGAGAGATCTCAGAGTGAGGAGGAGTCTAAGATTTGAGTTGTTCAGACTCTCAAGCATTATTCTGAATCTGTGATTCTTGGGAAGGGTAAACCTTTAAACTCTGCAGTCAGAAAAGGTGATAAAAGGGCTGTTACAGTAGACTTTGCTGTAAGATGGTATGTTAGTTACCAACAGATTCCTCTGACACTTGTTGATTACTTTAGTCTAGGGCTCTTTGTATGAAATGAGGGTCCTTGTTCTTTCACCAGCAGACAGATATTCCTGAGTGTATGTACAACCTTTAACCTTTTGAGTTGAGAAATAAAACCACAAAAACTGTACATCTTGGTACTCATAATAAATTTTAGCTTGGTGGGGTATTTTTCAGGCAAAATCTGCTCGTAGAAAAGACTTGGACGGTTGTGTTGTTTGCAATGAGGATGAGCTCTCAGGTCCACCCAACAGACAGTCCCATTCTGCTGGTTCATTAGAGCGTTCAGCACCTCCTGCATTTCAGGAGCATTCCCCCAGTTCTGTGCTGCATCGGTCTTCTCTAAGGGAAAGGTAATGACCTGGTTTTATTTATAAAATTCTGGAATTATTAATGTGAACAGATGATAACAGTACTTGCATGTCTATAGTTTGCATGTGTGGAGGTGTGTGGGCTGAAGGGACTGAAAAATCACCTGCAATAATGATGTTGTTTGACTTTTCCTCAGATGCTGTGTTTGCCATCACCTCTCTGCCTAATGATTACAATCCTAATAATGTGGCAGTGAAAATCTCTGTAACAGTGACACCCCAGATTTCATGCTACCAATGTCCATCTGAAACAGAGAATACTCAAATCATCAGTGTTTCAGAGGCAATTAGAATCTCAGGGATGTAAATACAGATACATGTCAAGTAGGTTTTACAGGAGGTACTTGGAAACCTTTTTCCTTTCTGACTTAGGACTAGTGTTTGTAAGCACGTACTCGTTGGCTGTAAAATACTCAGAGTGTGACTAGTGTGCATAACATGCTTGGGCAGCTTTAATCTACTCAGTGTATTATATTCCAATCTTTTTGCTTTATTGACATCCTAAGATTTTGTTTTGTTTGAATTGAAGCGTGGGCCTCTGCAGCAATTGTTTGTACATTAATTGCTATATTTAAATTAGTTTCTTAGTAGTCTCCGCTGACCCCAATGGAGTTGGGTTGGAGACAGTTTCTAATAGCCCTTAGTTCTGTGGATTTCCATCCCTGGATTAATATTTTGGGCACACTTCACAGCTTCAGTGTCTTATGAGGGTGGAATGGAAGAATTATCAAAAAGCAACAGATGGTTTAATGCTTAAGCCCTCCAGTCCTTCAAGGAGAGTATTCCCTACCTCCTGCTGAGTAGAAGGTGTACTTGGTGCTTCTCTTGTAAATTCACTGAGTAAGTTATGGGTTTTGCTTTGTGGGAGCAGAAAAACTGTGTTCAAAGCTGGGCCTGAGTAAGCAAATACATAAAATAATTGGGAGAAACTAAGGATTAAACTGATGTCTTGTCCTAAATGCTGAAGATGTACTTTGGTGGCTGGTTCATTCTCTGTTTGATCCCTGTTACCATTGGTACCCCAGGTAGTCAGTGCTTGCAGGGTGCATTTTACAGCCTACACACAGCCTAATGCTTGTTTTCAAAATAGAAAAACTGTCTCAGTTTTTTCTTTAAAAAGAAAAATGACAGATGGCAGGTGGGGACTGAATTTTTAATACTCACAAAGATCAAGATGGTGTTTTAACATCTTCCTCTGCTTGAAAACTTGTTTGTTAGTTGTTCTGTGTAATAGTGTGTCTTGAGAAGTGTTTTGCGGAGATTAGGATGTATCTGGGGTTTGGAGGAGGTTCCTTTGTCATCTTGTCTGCCTCCCCACTCTCCTCTGACAATGTTTGTGCATTAGTTACCCATATCTGGGGAAGAGATACTGTCATGGTGACTTTTTTATCCTTTTCTTCAGCTGGATTCCTTATGGAGGGGTTGGGGCTAAATTATATACACATTTTATTTAAAGCTGATGGGGCGCCTTCTGTTGATAGCAGGAAAGCCTTGTGTGTTATGAGCTGCTGTTACATGCATAGTAATTTAGTCATCTGCAAGTTAATCTTGAACTTGTCTGAATGTTCTTGCTTTTTCTCTTTATGAGCCCCTTTCCGGAAGAGATTTCTGATCTTGTGAAATTATGTTTTTTCTTCTTATTAGAGCAAATGTTCTCAGCTCTTCTGAGCTGTAACATCTCTTTATGTAAAAGATGTAACTATTTACTTCTGTCATCAGAAAAAAAATCAAAATGAGAAATAAAGGGCATAGTCTAAAAATTTTGATCTCTGTTTCATGCTGCTGAGATAACAGTGGTTTTAGCTGATTGTGTATTGAGAGTTATACTTGGAATGACAAACATGGTTGAGAGGTCAATGTTTGGAAATGCATGCAAACACTGCTGTTCAGATCATAGAAATACAGGAAAAATCAGCAGTACTGAAAGTATATCAGTGTTAGTGTAATTGAAAGAATATGGAGCCTTATCTCACAGCATTTGGTGTTTATTTCCTCAGTTTTATTTTGAATTACAAAGACAAATTGCTTAGCATATCCAGGCTATTTTTTTTTAATGCTAGTCAATCCACAGTCAATATGAAACTTGACTCCCCACCTTGACCTTTAGTTCCCTCTTTTCCCTTTCTTATTCTAAAAAGTAGTGTGAAGTGATGTCTGCCTTAGGAGTACTTCCCAGAGCCCTGCTCTGTAGTTCTTAAGCCACTGCAATACTTTTAGTAGTACAGAAATTGTGGTCTTCCATATGCTCCCCTGAGCCCCTTTGCATCCTTTCTGGCAGTTTCCAGTCCCTTTTCTGTGAGCCTACCGGAGACACCACAAATCAATCCTCTTCCCTTTTCCCCACTGGGTTTGAGACAAAAGCAGAACTGATTTACTACTGAACAAGACAGAAAAGTTTTGCATATTTATTTTTCATGCTTTATTTTTACATTTTTCATTATTTACATCACTTAAGGAAACCATTTGCTGATGCTGAAAGCTGACACTCAACAGAATGATGTGGCCATACAACCAGAGGTCCTTTCCAACCCCAAATATTCTGTGATTCTGTGATTTTTGGGTTGTAGCTCCCGTGCAGACCAGTGGCACATACACACCCTGGAGTTCCTGCCCTCGATGTGTGACCAGCAGTGTGTCAAGGCAGGTGACTTGCCCCCCCAGTCTGGTTGGTTGTGCAGAGATCAGTGGCCTCTTGTGCAGGAGTGAGCATCCTGAATGCCTTGGGAAAGAGCATTAGTACTCTGTTGTCTCAGTGCTGCTTCAGGAAAGCAGCATTCGAGTCCAGTCCTTGCTTTCAATCGTGCACATCCCTCCTCATGCATTCCTAGAAGATAGTGTTTTTCTTGGGGACTTACAAGCTAAGCCTTCCCTGCAGCACTGAAACCTGCAGCAAAGTACCTTTCATAAAGGAAAGGAGAAATAGTGAGATGGATTCTGTAAGGTCAAGAAGTCCTTTGAGCAGAGCTGTGTGCTGGCACAAGAGAAATCCTTTTCTCAAGAGACCACAACAATCATAGGAGTATTTGACTATTTCTGTTATGTGAGAGGCAAAGCTACTTCTCATGCATTTGGGATCAAAGGATTCTTTTTCCTACTCTGGAAAGAGCACGCTTTTGCTTTTGTTTCCAGACTGAAGTACAGCTTGATATCTTTTTTCATGTTCTCCTGGTTATGCTGCTGCTATGTGATCTTACCTACTATAAAATCTAACAAAAACCTAAGTTCTCTTTGAAGTGAGAGAGAGGTTAACTGTCTGGATCAGATGCCCTTCTGTAATATTCCTCTATTGTTTAACTACCATATTTTTATATTATCTTTTTCAAAGTAGTAGGGAAAGAGCAGCATGAAGTTAGATATTGCTAATGATAGATACAATGATAGATAACAGATATTAATGAAATATTAGATCCTACATGAAGTCCTTGAAAATTCCAGTTATCAGAATCAGTGATCTTGAAATGTGTCATGCCAGGATCTTGGGGGTTAGTTTTGTTGCACAGCAAAATCCAAACACAGGTAGTTCACCTTTAGAGGCTGGCATGCATCCTAAGACAGGGTTTGCTTCTGTGAGAGTGTATGTTTTCAGTGCTGAGAACTTTCTACTACAAAGTAGAACACTGAAAAACATTGCAGACTTTTTAGGAAAAAAGCTTGCTCTGGGGAGAGGCTGCAAACTAGGTTTATCAATCTCACCTCTTGGGGAAGTTTACTTATTTTGTATTCTTTAAGTTAGCTTCTGGAATCAGCACTTGAAAATCAGTTATTTCATACTATATTCTGCAAAACTGAGCAGTACCTGAGCCTTGTTTCATATTTTTGACTAACATCTGTACTATTTGTCATCTTCATTGGTTGGTTTTGCTGCAGCAGTAAGTAAATTTAAAATTGATTGCTGTCAAAGCCATTTTGTGTATAAATTAATAAATTCAGAAAAGATAGAAGGTAATGGAAAAGCTTCCAAAGAGCATAAGGAGGTGCAGCCAATTTGTGACATGCTAATGATTTAATACCTGAATGGCTTCAACCTTTTGGGGGCAACTGCTCAGCTGGAGTATTGACTTTCATTGAAATCTTGGAAGCTGTCTGCCATTTAAGTTTCACTTTTTCCGTGAGGATGATGTATAAGGGCTGGATATGAAAAGGAGAGAAAAGAAAGCATTTACTAATTTAAGAACTCAGCACTGAATTTGTCACTAGGCTTCAAGGCCCAGTTGTAAACAGGGCTTTGGAAAGTAAGAAAAACTACATAGAAAACATGGGAAATTTTTACCTTTTTTTTTTCATTTCTTACTGAAGAGGGAGAGCAAATTGGTACACAGCTAAGCTGTCAGCTTCTGCTTCCAAATATTTAGGCTTCTGTGCTTTGATTTAAGGCCTTAGCTGTGTGTAGTTGCTTCTGCTCCATAGTAATATTGTGCCCTTGTGAAGCAGCCTCCCTCCTCCACTGCAAATATTGTGAGAATGTCGGGGGGTTTGTGTTGGTATAACTTCATTACAGTTCAGGCTGGTATATACCAAGATAGTCTCTAAAACACTTCAGAGCTGCATCTGCACTAAGTTGCATAGCCATTGGTCATTTTAAGAAAAAGCAAAACAAAACTGTGTCCTTGACTAAACTGCCCAGAAAAACTCTTTAAATGTAGCCCAGCTTTTCTATTGTGCCTCCATACAGACTAGTATACACTGCAAACTAAGTCCATCGTACTGAATTACCACTTCATGTCCTCTTAAATGAGAATAAAGCAACTTCTTTCCTTACTGTGAATGCTGAATAAATGCCTGCATAGACACAAAATCTGGGAGAGGGTTGTTTTTATTTCAGAGTCAAATATATTTGGCTTTGTTGAGACTCTCTCCTGTTCCATATATAAGTTGTTGCAGATACTTTCAGGAGCTTTAAGAGCTCTTTGTCCCTCTTCCCCCCGATTACAGTAGCGTTGTCTCCATTTGTGAATCTGGTACTACAGGACTTCATTGATTTCTGTCCTCTGATAGTTTGTCCTTGTGTGTGGTTTTGCTCAGCATGAAGTCTGTGTCTTTGAAGCTGATGAATTCTTCGTGGAGGCCACATGCACTGAGTTGTTCACGAGGCGAGGACGTGCCATGGTGGGGGAAGGGGTCACGATAGGCATTGCAAATACTCTGCAGCAGGATTTTGCATTAATTCTGCTGATATGAAATGTATTAGTATCTCCTGCTGAAATGTGATATTAATGTTTTTGCTGTGTGCAAGTGGATGATTGGATTGTCTGACATTTAAAAGTTCCTATTTATTACAGCTCTCGAGTTTGCGAGCTGCTGTTTGAGTAGAGTGCATGGGTGGATGTATCCTGTTTGTATTTCTAATGGAGTATTTCATCCTAATGGATAAAATTATACATGAAAATAATCTTTAGCACAAAATCTACACTGTCTGCCTGGTTTCTTTTCTTTTTTTCATCATGGTAGATGTTGTCTGTATGACCTTAAAAAAAATCCTTATCTCATAAAAGAAAATAAATGCCTTTAGTCACATTACAAGGGAAAATGGTTCTGTTTCCTTGATCAGATTCAACACAACATCTTTGAAATTAATCTTGAAAAGTTCTCTGATTGATCTGGCTTTTTCTAGGTCACTGAGCTATATTTCCAAAGTGTTTATACAATCTATTGGAATCAATAAACAATTTAAACTGATGTAACTGCAGAATGTTTGCAAGTCCCAGGGAAAATTGAAAGTATGACAAAGAATACAGCTGTAGAAGTTTATTTCGTTTATCAGGACAAACAGTCATTGAAATGAAATGACTTTCCTTTCAGCACTGCAATATGGTAGTGACACCTTAATCACATAAATAAGTAGCTAGTCATTTTAAAGAGTCGTTACTGGTGATTTTGGGCAAATGGAATCCCTTTATTTATACTCCAAGAAGCTGTGCTATAAAGCCTGTTTTATAAAGTATTTCCAGTAGGAGAGTTAGAATATCATAAAAAGGTTTCACTTCAGATTATAGTTGTTACATTTTAGGCATGATTTTATTTTAGTTTGCGTTTCGGTTGGTGTAAATATTAACATTATACTTTAAACGTGGATTAGACTCTATAGTTGTTACTAAAATTAGACAATAAAATACTAGAACGGCTAATTAAAAAGAAGCTGATACCGTTTTTAATCACACTTAAGCTTTTGATTTTTTAATTTTTTTTTTTTTTGGTAAATGAAGTTTGGGGTCTGAGTGAGTGGCCAACGTTTGTTATACCACAGCGCACACTAGTGGATTGATCAGTAAAATCACCTGGAGAAAGAAATTTAATAGTTCATGAATTAAGTACTTAAATCTTCTTCTTCTTGCAGACATGGCCGTGTATTTTCTAAGTGAATACAATAGCTAGCTGGGTTTTCTTTTACATTACAGGTAAATACATTTACCTCCAAGGATATTTGTAAATTTAAGGTTAATAACAATGATCTGAAATCTTACATAAGAATTTCATAAAATTTATTTCCCAAAGGCAATATATTCCAGCTTCTCAGAGCCAGCAACCTGAATGTTGGAAGAAGAGCAGCTGCTGTATAAATAAGAGAAAATGCCATGACTTCATGGGTCTATCTTTTATTTGTCAAATGGGAAATGTCTCACTCTTACTGCATATAGGATGCAGATTTTTAAACATGGATTTCAGAAGTCCTTTAATATCAGTAAATGTTGTAAATCCTAATGGGAAGTCATAAGATGATAATACCACTCCTGCCCCTTTCCTTTACCTCTGTTCTTTGAAAAAAAAAAAAAAAAAGAAAGTGGTTTTTTTTACCAAAGCACAGGTGGTGATAGAGCACATGCATTGTAATGCAGTACATCAGACTGGGTTTGACTGCATTGGGGAAATGAATGTTCCTGCCTGCTTAAGGGACTCACACTTCTGTTTCTTTAAAGGCCATGCTTTTCTCCTATTAACAAAATCCACAAACCATTTTACTTTCATTTAGAAAATGTTATGTGAGGTCTTTCAGTGCAACAAATCACTGGATTCTAGTGTGCAAGACAGTTGTGCAGTGTGGATTCTCCATACATGCTCCTGGGCTTGAAATTAATTGTAAATGCTCAGGATGCCAATACGAGTGTTATGACCAGTCTTGTGAAGATTCTTGCCTGTAAGGATCCCTAGATAACTGTTAAAATCATTAGAAATATGGAAATACATCCCCCAATGGATTATATGTTTTGTCCTTTCAATATTGTGTCATTTCTTGGCACCCATTCTTGAAGAAAAATAGAAACATTCACGAATAGGTGATTTGATTTAAAGAAATTCATAGATAAGCTGAAAATACTGGGGCTGTTTAGAAACGAGAGAGATATTTTGGAAAGATAAGCAACAAAAAGTGCATCTAAATAAGTTGATTAGATAGAAGAAGATAGAAGAAAATAGAAGAAAATTACTCAAAAGCAGAGAACTGGTCACTTTCTACTAATATTTCAGTCTATCTCTCTTGTAATAGAAGGGCTGATCCAAAGGATAGCAAAGAGTTCTGTGCCCTTCCTGTAACCTTCAAGGCAGCCTGGCACATCCCATTTTCAGGATCCTGCTTCCATTAATTTTAACACTGCCAGGCTACTGTTTTGTACCGAAGCTTTCTATGTGTATACTTGGCTTGTTCTTTTTGGAAGGAACTGTACAGTTCTTTAGCTGTGTCGAAATTTCTGGAGGTTTGGTGAAGGTGAACTAAGCCAGGCATGATCAGACTGGGGATTTGAGAGTGATAGACTGGATAACACAGGGAATGTGATAAACTGGAGAGAAGAGGGCAGGAGGACTTGCAGTCCCAGCCCCACAAAGCTGCTCAGAGCCCACTGTGGAATCTCAGGGTTCAGGGTCATGATGTTTCTCCACTGCATTAAATTTGTGAAGGCAGCTGTCAAAGTATTGTTGCTGTTCCTGGTGCTGCTGGTCCACTCAGGGTATGGCAACTCTGCCGTGCTGTTGGCTGCTGTTCCATGAGTTGGGATTGCAGTGGCATGGCTTTGCCAGCTCACAGCTTGCCCAGTGACCCCTGTTCATATGATGATACCATATCATGAGTTTTTATTTTCTTGGTGCAAATTGAAGTTCTCAGAGGTTAGGAAACACTGAAATGAAGGTGCACAATCTTCATTTGGCACCCAGTTTCTATTCATTGTGATGAGATTGAGTAAGTAAACATTTAATAACTTTTCCCCAATAATTCTTTCCTTATATTGATGTCCCTTTTTTTTTAAATACATTTTTTTAATGTACTAACACGTGGTTGGTGTGTAGATGATTCTGTTCTTAAAATCTTATTTGCCTCCCTTAACAGACTGAGATTAACTATTGATATGAAATTTCTGACACGTTCTGAACTTCTTGAGAAGGATGAGGGGTTTTTTTTAGTAAATGGCAAAAAAATGTGATCCAAAACATAAAAGGGTAAAATCTAAAAGTAACTGTTAGTTTCAAGTTATCCATACCAAGCAAGCAACCTGCTTTTTAATGTAAAAAAGCAACTTAAAATGTAGTCCCTCTTATGAAATAAAGACGTTGAATTTGCAGTTCTCTAACTCCATGTGTTTTCCAATTTGCACACACCAGGGTTATCTTCCTGTTGATTTTTTCCAGTGAAAATAATTCCATGCGTGCAATACTTCCTTTAAAGAGAGGAAAATGAAACCTGATCACTGGGAATAGTGTGGCTTTTCTGTTCTGTAGGGACAATACCCAAGTTACAAAACGATCAACATTTTCCATGTTTTGCATCTTCTGTTGGTGCTGTGGCTGCATACTGTTTATGCAATGCTTTGAAATGTTTCTTTACTTGTACCCCAGAGGAGAAAAAGAATCAAATCTAAACACTGTGCATGTTCCAAATAGGAGGAAGTAATACATGCTTCATAATTACAAAAAAAAAAAAAAAGGAAATCCGAGTCGAAAGCATGTTTGAGCTTTTCAACAAGAAAATATTTCTTCTCTTTGTTTTTCTTCTTGCAGGTTTAGCTCTGGTTGGCCTTCACCAGCAAATGGAAATGAGATCCATAAAAGAGTGAAAAATATTTTAAGGACACACAGTGCTAGGCAGCGCCTAATATTTGTAAGTAAGACTGCAAACTCAATTCTTTCTTTTCTCCAAAGTGACTGAGGAAGAAAACTGTGCCTACAGTCTTGGATTTGTTATAATGTTGTCCTTTGAGACAGCCTTGATTGTCTTGAAATGAGGATTCAGTGTGTGAGCTGAACTGTTTCACACTGATTTCAGTAGCCTCTTTACGTGTAGCCTTTATGGGCAACTGGTACCTCTTATGGGTTATTGCAGACAGTTACATTTGGGTTTATTTTTTTATATCTGGTTCTCCACTTCCAATTTAAGCAAAAAATATGTTACAGTTGTGTAGAACATCAAGGTTAAACATGTTGTGCAGCTGCACATCAGCAGCTGCTTGTATCCAGCTGTTTATAGAGCTAATATTATTCTTCAGATGTGTGGGGTTTTTCCCTAATTACCTGGCTTTCAATGAACAGAGCTCTTTATCTAATGAGATTACGCCCGGGATCAGAATATTTTGCCCTTGATGGAATTTTGAAGTGTGGTTTAAGACAGACAAAAACTTTTCCTGTTGTGATTTTGAGAAGCGCGGTTGTGGCACAGCGCAAGCCAACGCATTGTACCAACTGAATAACAACATTGTTCATCTGCAGGGAACTTAGGGTCTTCAGTGTGAGGTGAGGTGAAAGACAGGTAAGACAAAAAGGATGTAAGGATGAGAGGTAGGTAAGATTATGATTAGGAGCTCTGGTGAAATTATCATGTCCCCAGATTTAGCCATGTTGGGCAGCTCCTTGTCTCACCTCGTTCTCGCCTTATCTGATTATTTTCTCCTTTCTGTCCAATCTTCATTTTTAGCTTAGTTGTGGGTTTTGTTTTAAACTCAGAAAAACCTTTTCTCGTGCATAGTAAGACTGTTTGATCTAGTTCTTGCTGTGCCTCCCTGAGTTTGTATATGAATGTTATGATTTTGTGAGCTGCTGCCTCTCAAACAGAAGATGCCCATCACATTTCAGAATAGGTACAAGTCATGTAAAATGCTTCTCTGATGTTTCAATGAACTTAAGATAACAAATTGGATTTCATGACAGTCCAACACCTACCTTTAATGAAAGTTTGCACAGCCTGAACTATCTCCAGTGGTCCTTGACTACTTTCCTTGAACAGCAGACCATGACTTTATGATAAAAGATTTACTAGTTTGTTACGAGAGTTGGATGGTTGGTTACATGGTCTCTCCATACAGTTAAAAAGACTGTGAAATATAATAATGGGTAAAGGAGAATTTTTCCTATTTACTTTTTTTGCTTATATCCTTTAAAAGTTCTACTCTAGAGTGACTTACACATAACGCAGCAATCCACTCGTTACTGCAGTACTGCACAAATGCACACGACTTTGCAGACAATGTGCTGGTTTCTGCCCTAAAAAATCCAGCTGTTAGGGTGTTGGGTCTTTAATTACCAATCTGGTCAGAGCAATGCTGGTAAAGGACGTTTATCTCACTCCATTTTCTTCCACTGAGCAAAAGGATGCTACAGAGAAGTCTTGTGGTGTTTGATACTTGTGTACAGCTGACTTGTGAGCGCTGTGCTAACAGCGGCTGACACGATTAAAAAAAATAGACAAAAATATCAGTTCTCCTTGCAGTGAGTACTGTACAATACACCAGGATTGGTTATGCTTCCCAGATGGCCCAAAATCAAGGCTGTGTTGGTGCACAGTGGGTGGATGAGGTAAATGGGTCATTTTTAAAGTGAGCGAATAGTAAAGCAAGTGTGCTCACTAAGTGGTGAGCAGAGTTTGGCTCCAATCCAGACCCTTTTCCAAACTCTGGAAGGTTAAAAAGTATCTCTTATTCTGTTTCATTCCAAAGATCCTAATGCTAAATAGCCATTCCCCAAAGTACCCAGCTGTGTCTTCTGAAATTTCATTTTCATAGTGTTCTGTAGAAATAGTGTGACTGGAGCTCTGCTGCAGATTCCTTAGGGTGTCCACTGTAGCTTTCTGCTGTGACATTCTGACAGTATCGTAATGTTTCCATCTTTTTTTGCTTTCCTGAACATAATTTGCCTCTGGCAAATGCTGCAGAGTTTTATTTACCACTGTACCCCATTTCCTCTTCAGTGCTTTGTAGTCTGTGACTGCTGAAGGAAGAGAGCTTTCCTGTTTACAAACACACTTATTACCTTGTATTTCACCACAATAAATTCTCTTAGGTTTTTCCTCATCCATACACCTGCTGTTCAGCTTGCTCTGCATCTTATTGCCATCTACCGCTATATTTATTGCCTTTTCTCCCAGTTCTGTGTTACCAGCAAGTGTGATTATTTTTACTGCACAGTCTTTTTTCCAATTATTTCTCCTATAGCATGAAAGATGACTGTGTTTACTAATCCTTACAGCAATTGGCTTCTGCTGAAAGCATCACTTAGTATCACCTCTTAAGTAGGGTCTTTGCTCTTCAGAGTAGAGTGAACATGGTTGTGTGTGGTGGAATTTCTACCATCCCATCTCGGGTGAGCAACTGGCTCCCTCCATGTGAGGTGTTTTGTTTCTCCCTTACTTAAGAGGGCAAATCTGGGTTAATTAATGTCTAGATATCATTTGGAAGGTAAGACTGCATTCTAACAACTCCTAAGAATACCACTGAAGGGTCATTAAGGGTATCAGATATTTTTTGAATAGGCGTGTACTCAGTCCTGTGTATGGAATCGAAGTATTCAATCGAAAATGCTTCTGTCTGGTAAAATGCATGAAATGGATAATGAGAGCTCATTATGAATCATAATAAGTTTTAGGTTCTTTTTCCCCTTTTCTGCAAGAAGCAAAAGTAAAGCAGTAGGCAGTAGGTTTCATAACATTTTATCAACATGTTTGTTGGGGGTTATTGAAGCTTGTGCTGTCTGCATAGTACTCTAGATCTACACTGTCTAGAAATTCTTTCCAGTTTATTACCTTAAAATTATTAGCTGAATTGTACTGAACTTAATTAAAAGTGTTCACAAATGGCATTTGGCTCATTACACTTTGTCCCTTTCTCCCCCAAGAAATGTAAGTTACTTTAATAGTCTTCTAAATGGAAAGAAAGTATTTTTGAAATGAGATCATTGTAATCAGAAACCAAGGTAATGAGAATTTGATTTCTGGGTTTTTTTTGTTTTTGGTTTGTTTGTTTTTTTAGGATGAGAGTAACTCATCAAAAGGAGACGTGACTAAGACAAGAGAATCTTCACATAATGCACCCTTATCCATGAGTGAACTGCAGAGCAGGTATGGAGTTTTTCTCTGACCAAGACAGAACAGTCATACTCAATATTGCCCTTTAAATGTAGCTAAAAATTTCTCTTCCCATTTTAGTCTGTCATATATTGCACAAGGAAAAGACTTCTGTAAGAGTTAGTCATACCAAGCTTTTTCACCTAAAAGCAAAATGCAGTTAAATATAATTATGCCTCTGATGTTGTTTTGGCACTGTAAGTGCCTAAGCCAATATAATCTTCATAAAACACTGATTTTGGAACTGGACTTGGTAATAAAAGTGATTCTTGGGCAGTAGTTTTGGGTTTTATCAACCAGAGAGCAAATGTCACTTTTAAAATAATCAATTGGTTATTTGGTTATTTTTTTAAACTATAGGAGTGCAAAAAGAAATTGGAGCTTATTTATTAATATGGTTTGAGGCTGTTGCTTTGGTTTGTTCCTTTTTTTTTTCTCTTTTTTTAAACTCATATGTGGAAAAAAACGTTTTCAAAAAACGCATTAAATTTATATACCATAGTTTAGCGATTCAGCACGTTATTTCAGAAGCTGTCTTGGAAACCTGAGGTCTTAAAAACCTGGTTTATTTGGGTTAATTACTATATGTACTACTCACGTACATGGCTAGGGTTTCATTTCAATATTATGAAACGCTGAATTGATTTTGACAACTTCTGTAGCAGAAGTTATCAATATTGATGTTCTCTGTGTGTGCACACAGTGTTTTGTACAATGTTTTCAGTACTTGTTGGAGGAAAGATACTAAGTAATGTAAATCTTTTCTGGGCTCCTATGGCTTTTCTGGTTTTTTTTATATTAAGGGAGAAATCCTAGAACTGTGGTGCTGTATTTGAGAGGTGTTGCCATTAGGAAAGAAAAGGTTTTATTTTGGTAATTAAATGTGACACAGTGTTTTGTAATGAAGGCGTCCCAAACCACCACTGTAATACCACTGAAAGGAGGGTATTTCAATATGGGCACCATAGTGAACTTCTACTTGCAGTTTGTAAGCTCCAAAAAGTTCATTTATGACTTGCTGCCTGTTTTTGCAGTTCCTGTGGTTTGTAATCACCTCTGTGCAAGGGATCTAGTTACTGAGATTTTCATATACATGTGAAGCTGCTGCTGCAGTTGTGTATCCCTGTACCTGTGCTCACTCCTGTATTCTACGTGTAGCCTTTCTGCTCCCTTTTCCTTTGTCCTGACAGCTGGTGCAATTAAATTGTGTAGGATGTGTTTGTGAGAGAGAAAGTGCAAGTTTTTGTTTTGAGGCAGCTTTGGGACTTTGAGATTGATGCTGAAACTGCAGACCATGAAAAAATGAAAAACAAACCCTAATACTACAGAATCCTGAAGTGATGGGATATGAAATGTGGCACTCAAGTTGGGAAAGGATTGCTCCTTGGGTTTAGAGGCCGGCAGCACTGGGGATGAGACATAAAAGGCCTCGAGGACAGTCTGATTGCTGAGTCTTTGCCACAGTGCTCATAAACAGGATACAAGGACAGAGACAGAGTTCATGGAAGGACATGGTACTGTCGACCAAATTTTGGCAGTAAAGTAGATGGATGATTGAAAACCACTGGGAGTAAGGAAAAGGTCTGTGTTTTGTGAAATATTTAGTATATGATTCACTCAGAAAAGAACTTCTGGGACTCTTAAAGGAGATGTATGAGGGAACAAAAGCATATGACAGGTATTTCAGAGCAGGGAGTTGCGTGCAGAAATCCTGCTGTTAATATGATTTGTGAGTGTAATTCCCAGATTGCTTAGCTCAGGTTGTCAGCTGGTTTCCAGCTGAGACAGGAGGACTCTTCCCTAGCTTGGCTGTATCTTTGTCCACACCAGTGCCAGGTATCTCATGCACAGGGACTGGCTAATGGAAACACATACAAACACATCCCTCCCAAAAGAGAAGGGAAAATGAAGTTTATGTTTTCTTGTAAGTCTTTTTCAGTATCAGAATAAGGAACTTGTGGAAGTTACTGTTGGGTTTTGAGTCTTTCCTTTACTGCAGTGGTTGGAGTTTGAGTGTCTCTAGGTACATTCAGCTTTTAGGAGAAGAAAAGGCAAGCACAAGGCTGCCTGCAGGAAATGGATTCCAAGGAAAAGAGTGTCAGAGCTGTTTGTTGTCCAGTTACAAGTGCCACTCCTAGTGCTGTGCTTACTTGCTGGCCTCAGAATTCTCCATCAGAAGTGAGGTACCATGAACTGCAGAAAGGAGGAGGTGAAACTTCAGTTGTTGATGAGTCCCCAGGGTATTGACTTGTCTGCATTTCACATAGGCCTGTATAACTTCTGTATTGATTTTACTGTTTGGTGTGTTGGTTTCTTTGTGTCCAAACTGTGAAGCACAGTTCACTTGGGATGATAAACAGTTTTAATTTGCTTCATGATATTGACTGACTTTAAATGTTGGAGCTTTTTTGAATAAGTGTGAAAGTGGCCTTTCTCCCTTTTTAATATTGGAACCACTCACAGGTCTTGTTGTTTTCATTGGTATAGGTTGGCATCACCCTACTATTTAAATGTAAGAAATATAAAAGCAAAAGCTATTCCTTCTTTTGTTTTTCATGGGACAGTGGAAGGTCAGGGATATGAATTTAGAGAACTAATCTTATATTTTCCTCTTCTTCCCTCACTGTTTTCTATTCTTGAAGTGAAAACCTTGTGTTTTTATGCAGTGAGGTACAAATGTATTCATGGGTCCTTTGGCATAAGGTTTCTTTCAATTTTGTCACATATGTGGGCTGATAATAACTTGAGGACAAAGTTTTAAGTACTGCTTTGAGCATAAAAGACACTATCATTAATAAATTATATGTATATAAGAAACTGTAAAGCTTCCCTGTAAAATGTAATCCATTTCCTGAGTGAAGATGGTCACTGTAAGCTTCACACTTCCAATTTCATTTCCCAAACTGAGAACGTTCGCAAAAGCCTGAAGATAACTCAGTCCTAATTTTTAAGTGTCTTCAGTGCCTAAATCTCTGAGCAGACATGAAAAACGTCACCTCAGTAGTCATTTTTTGCTGATGATTTTTGAGCTACTTGTTTCATGCTTTATTACAAGGAAATTGCTCATTTAATTATATGACACAATCCTTTGTTTTGAAAGTATCAAGAGGAGGCAAATAGTCATGATGTTTAGATACGAACGCTTCGGAGTTGTCAGTGTTTTGTAATGATTTTCAGAGTATAAATTTCACTTCATGGGTCTAGGAAATAATTTCTCAGAGCAACTGAAAGATGAGCCTGTATTTGTGTTTAGTATTAAAACAGTGACACAGAAGATGGGGTGTGGAAGGAACACTTGATTGCCACTATATCATAATGTATTTGGTAGAACACTTATTCCAAGACGCTTCCGATAGAGCACTTTACAGCTGCAACCACGGTAATTTAATATACCCCTGATAGATTGTCTTCATATTGAAATAGCTCCTTGTGGTTACAATTTAACCTTCAAAGGACACAAAAATCCTACTGTGTTGCTCTTGCCTAGTCACACAGCCTGCAAAAATACAGCAAAATTACTGCATGTTCTCAGAAAATTAATTCTCTTTCTGTTTGGGAGGCTTTATAAAGCATAGTCAGGTAAGTGGGGGAAAATTTGTGAATGAATAATTTGTGGTTTGCATTTCTTAGAAGTAGCTGCAGTGCAGTTTTTGTTTCAGTTTGTACAAGGTAATATGTCCTTAGCTGCTCTGCATTTGTATTTCTGCCGGTTTTGTGCCTCTGATTCCTCTTCCATGTCTTGTTTCTTATCTTCTTTCCTTTGACAGTTCACCAGTGCAGCAGAACGCTCCTGTTCACTTGGATAATGGTGAATACTGGTCCAGTCGTGCAGCTGTGCACAAAGAGAAGCCTCACAGAGCGATCTTTGAAGAGAGCCTCGGAAAAATATACAAAAACATGTACCAAAAAGTTGCTGGCACTGTTTCAGACCAAAAAACACATTCCTGATAGCAACTCACCTGAAAATGCACAGTACACAGTGTTCACATTTGTAACTAAACCTATTTTTATATAAGAATATTTTTACTCTATTTTTAAGGTGCCATTATGGTTGGGCATACGGTTGGAAAAATGGGGTTTTGGCCTGTGTTGACATTAACATCCACCCCCCAAAACAAAGGAACAAAAAATCAAGCCCCTCCATGGTTAAGCAAGATGGTATTGTTCCTTTGAGACTATGAAAATAGAGTCATTTGAAGATTAATAGGTCTGCTGGACATTCCTGTCTGACATCAACTCAGGTTTCAGCTGCAACCAGTTCTTATTAAATAACTAAAACTACTTAGTAACATAAACAGAATTGATTGAAGAAACAACCAATGCTAGTGGTCAGAGAGGGGGTCTAAAGGGGAGGGTGAATGTGAGTGGTGTTTTAAAAGCGACCCATGTGGGACAAAGGGAATTGTTTTCTAGAAGATTGCCTTTGAATTGTTTATTTTGGAGAAGGGCAGAAACGCTGGTACTGTAGGACCTAAAGGTTTTTGAAGTGGTTTCAAGCACCTTTAGCAACAAATATTCTAATACTGTGAAATTTTAAAAGAAACCCACCCAGCCCAGCAGTCTTTGTATCAGATGAAAGGTCATCTTCACACACCCTTTGCATTTGAAAGTTTCCAGGTTCTCCTGAATGCAGCCGTGACATTTGCCAATTTACCTGTAATTTTAAAAATTATGAATAACAAAGGAGTGTGCAGGGGGAAAGACCAGAGCTAGTGAGCAAGCTACTTGTGTTCTGTACAGGCCTTCTGAAATTCCTGCATCACAATCCCACCTAATTTGGAGCCTGTCCTTCCCAGTCTGCTGGGATCCTGTTGGCAGAAATCGCTTCGTTTTTGCTAAAGGCCACCAAATGTTCATCAGCAGTTCGATGCTTTCCCCGGGGATGGAACCTTTTCAGCCTTGCATTGAGCAGATCCCACATTAGCAGACCAGGGCAAATTGCCCATCTCTTGAAAAGCAGAATGTTTTAAAAGGGCAAGAGTGTCCATCTCCCGCTTCCTTTCAGAATGGGGGAAAAAACAAATGCCTGTTCTGGCTCCTTCCCTGCCTGAGCGAACAGATTCAGTTTCTCCGATGCCATTTTACCTGTTTGATTGGATAAAGGATAAAGCTGGGAGTACAGATGGCAGAACATATGACTGTAACCTGCCAGCATGCCTAGATAAACAAAAAGTTGGTCTACTCTGCCTTCTATCCTTTAATGCTGAGACAACATAATTGATTTGAGAAAGCAGTTGGTGAGCAATTATGCTGGTGGGAAGGCACGTTGAAAGGCTGTGTGCTTCTGTTTCAGGAAAGGGGACTCTCAGAGGAAGTGTCTCACATATAGACATTTCTATTCCTTGTAACTGTTAAAGCAGTTGAAGTGGATTAACACTGATAACTTCCTGTCCCTGATGCCATCTAGCACATTAGTGCCTTCAAAGGGCATTAGTTGCACAGTCTTATGCTGTGGAGAAGTGTGGAGTCATTCTATGAAGTGAAAAGTAAAACTTCCCCAAGCTGTGCCCCTGGTGGCCATGGAGTGTTGTTCTACCAGTACCTGGTGTTCATGGGCCTATTCCTGTGATCCCCTATTGGTCCATAAAGGACTAGTTTTCTTGCTGTTCAGGAAAGGTATATTGAAATGGATCCTAAACAGGTAGGGTAGATTCTGAGAGATACTTTCCAAGCTTTCGGTTTAAAAGTAATCTATTAAAATCTAAAGGTTGTTGCAGTTTCCTGTTTGTGTTTGAGCTGCAATATTCAGTGTTATTCTTATGGTATCCTGCAGTTTGATTCAATATTCTCTGTGTATTCCCTTCCCAGTCTCACAGTCAAGTAGAAGTTACAGTCTTCTGAAGATTGGCTGCTCCCCTTTGGCCTAATCTAGTTCTGTGACATAGAAAACCTGTTAGATTTTTCCTTCCCCAGTAATCCATCAGATTTTAGTCTCTGTTTGTTTGATGTGCAAGAAAACCTGAATGCTGAAGCTTTGTTTTGGGGTTTTTTTTTGTATGGATGGGGTTTTTTTTGGAAGGACAGAGGTTGCCATGAATTCGAGACATAAGGAGGAGATGAGGAAGGTTGGAGGCCACTGTGAAAAAGCAGAGTTGTGTTCTCAGGGGGTCCATAGGAGTATCTGGGGTGTATCTGTTTAATTCCCCTAACTAAAGAAAGGGAGCATATAGTAATATGTCAACTTTCAGTTTTCATCAAAGATGAAAACATTTTCAGCAAAGGTAAAAAATAGATGGGAGAAAATAGTGTCATCTATTGAATTTTGACCAGTAGGAATATTCTCAGGGTAGCCTTCTTATGCAACATAACAACAAATGAAGCAGACAGACTCTGTGTTTGGCCCTGGTCCAGCTGTGAGGGGAGATGGTGTGTATAATGTCTCTCTGAATCAGCTGCTGCAGGATATGTTTCTCTCTTGGGTCAGTCATTCCACAGCTTATACGCCGTGATACAGCAAAGAGTGTTCTCTTCCAAGTGCTGTGCTGGAAATCCAGTTTGGTTGATGGAAAACTTTTCCCTGAAATGTGACTTAAGACCCAAATTACTCCAGTCTGTCCATAAAATCTGCAAGCCACTTTGTTTTCAGAAGCACTTGGCCCCTTCCCTGTTTGCTGAGCTAACCCTGCCATTAATACACACACGAGCACGGCTGTTCCTGTGCTACTGCAGCATGTGATAAGTGAAGGTTCAGGCAGTGAACCAACACAGTAATAAACTGTAATTGTTTAGTGCACCTTGCCTTCTAATACAATTTAAATCCCTCCTATCAAATGCAAATTTCTAGGTTCCTAAGTGGAGCTTTAAATAGCATTTTCTATGCTCATTCCTTATCTTTTGCCATCCACAAAGTTGTTAGTGACAGTGGGATGGCAGAATTCCACCCCTGTCATTTTGCGTCCTAAAGGAAAGCTGCCTACTCAAATCTAGAAATAATGGGCTAGATTAAGAGCGAATTAGTGTTTTTCTGTAGAGTCTGTGTCTTTCTCTTGCCCTCCCCAAGTTATAATAACCCATGAGCATTCTCACCAAATGCTGTTCAGCATACAGTGATGCTTGCAGGATGCAACCAGTGCAAAATTTTATCACTGTCATTTTAGTAAGTCAGACCCTGCTTTCTACTTGTTCCCTTCCATCCCTCCTGTGACTGACTTGGTAGAGTTTAGGATCTTGGGGTGGCTTTAGGCAAACGACTTGCCTGCGTTCAGTAGAAATGCAAATCCTTTGCTGAGTAACAGTTGCTTTGGAAATCACTCGGTCATTGACCTGTTGTGGATTAAAGACAGAAATGTCAAACACTTCAATAATTTGCCTTATCTAAGTTTTCAACTTAAGAGAAGCTTAAATTGGTCCACTGGGGACAAGAGGCATAGGGATGGCTGGAGTAGTGGGAACAGCTTTGTAAGATAGATGGGAAACAGTGTGTATACTCCAATGCTGAGCAGCTTGGGAAGTGACAAGGGCTGTTCTTTAGATTGTGCATCACGTTTGAATTTTACTGTTACTTCAGATGCTGACAAAATTGTGGGAGGAGAAAGAAATCTACCTGTAGGTGTTGGGAATCTATTTTTGGGGTAAAATAACAGAACATTTAGCTCTGCTCAGTATTAAATAGTCTTTTCCAAACTCCCTCTCATTGTTACCTCAGCTGTAAAATAGGGAGTTTGTGCTCTGTTGAAGCTTAATTAAATGACTGTGAAGTGCTTTGGGATCCTGAGGTGAATGTTAAAGAAATTATTTTATGGAAACCTGGCTGAGAAGTCCCATCTCATCTCCAGGTTACTAAAAAGGCTTTATTTTAATTTTCCCAGGTTTATTATGTTTTAATCAGACAATTATTAAACAAGTCTTAATCAGATTTAATAGATTTCTGTCCTGATCAGAGGGCCGAAAAAGATAATGAACTGCTTTACTACATGTGCTTTTAGGAGCTAATCTTTACAGTTGGTATCTTGCTCAACTTCTGTCTCCTGCATGATCTGGCTTCATATACTGATTGCTCTTATGATATGGAGGGGGGGTTAACTATAAATTATTTATTTCATCCTGATATCTTAGTGCTGTTTGCTACGTGTACTAACCAGCACTATTAACATCTCTCTGTTAACATGAGGGTTTGTTCTCATCCTCTACCCAGAAACAAGGGATGCAACGGTGTGAGCAACGTGTCAGTGAAAAATTTTGTGTGTTGTGCTACAGGTTTGTCAGAGAAAGTATGTTGGAAGGAATCTCTGCTTTTTCAGTCTGTATGCAACGAATAAATTAGTATATAATTCTTCTCTTCCTAATTTTTAAGCTTGAAATCTTTTCTGAAACAACTGAACTATGCAACGAAATTCTCAGCCATTTAGCAACGGTCACTTACTGTATAAATCTGGTAATGCAGAATCTCTGGGTCATAGGAAAGGTCATGGTGTTATTACTTCAGTAGTTGTGGGGTGTTCATTATCAGGATGCTGAAAATATCTCAAGAGATTTGTTTAGTAATCAAGGAATTTGAGGAAACTTTTGAATCAATGAAATTTAGCCTCTTGGTTCCAGTGAAAGCACTTGAAGCTAAGAGAGAACAGCACTTCTGTGGCTGATCTTGATGAGCTACCTCACTGACAGGAGGGATGTCTGGCTTAAATGATGGTCTCTGGTAGCAGCAGAGAACTGGTCTTTGCCCAGTTCCTTTCAGTTTCAACAAATAAACCAGCATTGTGAGAAGTGATTGAGAACACCTGATAGTCCTGTTTCTATTACACAGTGAACTATTAGGCACAAGCCTCCTTGATTGCATTGGTTTCTGCTGCTTTCCCCATGGAATTCAAAATAACATCAACCAAAGCCCGTAAAAGATGTGGCTGTAGCTCCTTTTATCAGTGTTGGCTTGCCAAAGACATGCAGTTTGTTCCCAGTTTGTCTTCAGTGAGAAATTCTCTGAAGTGTGGTGATAATTTGTCTGGATGGCAACATAAAGGAACTGTAATCTTTCTCTTTGCTTGATCTATGTGGAGATTGTGCTTTTTCTTCATGTGTATTTCCCTTCAGTTCTGGGTGATTGCTTCTGACCTAGCAGAGAGAACTCTCTGCAGCCTGAGAAGTGGTGATCTGAGCCACCTTCTCACCTCTTCAAGGAAAGAAGTTTGCTGTTGCAAAACATCCCCCCTCTTGGTTCATAAGAAGGTGTTTGGGTAACCCTGTAGAGCTGATGCCATGGAGTGAACAGAGCTTCACATAGAGTGGGGTGGGAGGCTGAGAGCAGGGGAGATGCTGAGAGTGTTTGATGCTTGGTATGCCATGAATTATGCATTTCTATACCATGAATTATCAGTGTAGAAAATAACCTGTGAAACTCATGAGTAACAAAAGCACCATTTACGTCACTGAACGGTGGTGAATTCTACTGCTTGTATTTGTGTTGTTACACTGACTTGAATTTTTGAATGTTTAGCTAATTGTGTTGTACTAAGACTATAGTTGTAGGAACTGTTTCATTCAGTACTCCAGTAGTAAACACTTGCTAATAGGTTGCTTTCCCTGCCTGCCTTGTTTTCACCACAGTCATCTAGTGTTTACATACATTTTAGCCTCTGTGCCATTTATGAAGGCTTTATTTGTCTCATTTATGTTTTTGGTTTGGATAATACTTAAATATGAAATCCATCTGGGAAACATATTGTATATTCACGTTGAGGGGTAAAACCAGTTTTTAATTAAAATTTTATACAGCACTTGTATTTCACTTTGTCCTGTTTTATTATGAAACACTTCAATCTTCTTCCTAAAACACATATGTCTTGTGCACTTCAAGATGTTCCTTGTTGCTCATGCAGAACCAGTTTCGGAGCTCTGTCAGCAGAGTGCCATATGTTCTGGGGTTCATTTAGCTTCTCTGGCATTTGTGTAGGCAGCATATTGGATGTAATGCAGCTCAGCTCAGCTCCATTCTTCTCTTTGTAAACTTGTCAAGAGATAAAAAAAAAAGCAGGGAGAAGGAAAACACTGAATAATACTCGAGTGATTTGAATTATCAATAAGTTACAGGAACGTGGCCAATCAAAATTGAGGTTTCTCGTGTGCTTGAGGATTTTCCTTAATTGCGGCTTATGCAGAGCCTATAAAGTGATGCATCCCTCGGTGCTACCCAGTATTACACCCAAAACAAGTGCTCAAGATTAAGATATAACCCAAATCACTTGGAAATGACAAGCATTAAGTGCTCAATTTTGCATTGATCTGCTAGTTTAAATTTAAAAAAGAAAAAAGAGTACTAGAAGATGGGCGTGTGAAGGGATCATACTCCTCTTTGGTGTCCTCTGGCTTTGGGGAAAATAACTCTGCACTCTTTAAATGCCTGGTACTGAAAAGAGAAATCTCCAGGCTGATGGTGCCCTCCTGTAAAAAAAAACCCAAAACAACAAAAACTCATTTTTCTACCAATCCATTCCTGTTTCTTCCCTGCCCCCATAATCTTGACAATGAACCAATAGGTGCCATCAGTCTTTAATAAATGCCTGATGTGTAGGCACTTGGTGGTATCCAAGTATCTGCTCTGCTCTGCCAAGAGATCTCAGAACCATCTCGGTGTCTGTGACAGAGGCCCAAAGTATTCACAGGGCCAAAGTATTTCTGGGATTCTGTAACTAGAGTTTAAAAACAAAAACCAAAAAAAACCACAAACAAACTCAAAAGAATAAGGAACTAGCAAAAAAAGAATCCATATTAATCTGTTTCCCCTTTGCTGAGGTGTGGGACTGGAAGGAAAGGGCACGACTGGCTGCTGGAGATGACTGTGTGGAGGAGTGTGAGGGAAACTTCTGCAGTCGTGACCTAAGGGCAGTCAGAAATAACCAGCTGGAGTGACATGAGTGTAAACCTGGTTGAAGTGACAGGCAGCTCAGCTTCTGGGACTCTATTTACATATGTTTAAAACAAACCAAAAAAAAAAAAAAAAGGTGCCTTTGTTCCCAAGGAAAATCTATTTACTTGGCATTCAGCTCATGTATAAGCTGGAACTTCTTTCACAGGAGATGTAGAAACAAAGTGACTGACACTTCTGCTTTGATGTGAGGCTGAAGCTAAGATTTGATTTTGAAATATGAAAGTAAACTGAAACTGCCTTCAATTTAAAGGTGGATTTTTTTTTAATGACCTTAAAAGTTTTGAGAAGTTTTTTGTCCCCCCCCCTTAGGGACCAGAAGAATTTATAACAGTAATCTTACTTATAGCTGTAAGTCTACAGAGACAGTGGCTGTAGGTTAATGAAAAATTGACACTGCTACTTGCCTGTGCTTCCAGCAGAATTTTTTTTTCTTCAAACTGAAGTGAACTATTGCACTGTGTGAGCTGGTTATGAGTCTCACATATTAAACTGAACGCTGCATTTGTGGAACTACAGGAGCGAGTCACAGCTGAACGTTCTGAACATGTTCCTGTTTTGAACAAATGCAGCAATAATTACAGGTTTCTTAAAATGGTTATGCTGGTCCTTCCCACACACACTCAGAAATAAAGCCTGTGGGTTCGTCTAAACCAGAGAGTGGCAGGGGAATCGTCCCTGGTGATCCCCATCCCAGTACAAAATCCCAAGTGCTGTCAGCCCATCTCCTGTGGCACTGGGGCTCCTCGGGGGACACCCTGTGGCCCACAGAGAGTTGTTCAAGTGTCCTCTCCAGGAGCCTTTCTGCAGTGTCTTTTGGGACAGCTTATTCCTGGGAACTGTGCACAGAAATGGCATGAACTCGGCAGCTCAGGCTGACTTTGGTTCAGAGTCTGACAACTTAATAACTGTTTGTTGTCCTTGACATGGTGGTGCCATCTGGTCCTGCTTGGACAGCTGATCTGTAATACTGCACTGCATGGTATTCCAGCTTTTGCTGATGGAATCTTGGGCTGTGCTGGAATGGCACACGGATACCTCGATGCCTGCCTGTGGCCAGGTGGCATGTGCTTAAATCACATCCCCCCGTGCTGTGATGGAGAGGGACACACAGGGCTGTTGGGAATTGCTTTTGAGACAAAGGGAGGGAAGGCATGAAGGTGGTTTCAGGTATGATATGGGATCCCAGATCAGGAATCAAAGAGCCATTGGAAGTCCACAGTCTTCCCTTCTCCCCTTGAAGGACTTTAGATCTGACCAGACTCTGAAGAGTGCCCAGTGCCACCATAGCAACACGGTGTCAGGGCAGGAGCTTAGCAAATGGCTTCTTCACTCATGTTCAGCTGCTTCAGAGGAGGTTGTACAAAAATCTCAAATTGCTGTGACACCAACATTATACCTGTGCTGAAAAAAAATCACTTTCATCTCTTGCTCCTTGTGTTGCCCTCACAGCACACTGTATATCGCTCTTACTCTTCAAGGAAAATAAAAGAAGGAATGTTCATCCCTGACTTTGGGGAATCCTGGAGGTTGGATGGGACCTCCCACATTATGCTGGCATTAGTCTGAAATGAGGAAAATAAATGTACCTCATTAAATGTATGTAGAGGACTGTGAGAGGAGAGGCTTGAATTTGGTTTTTGCATTCACTCCATTTTGTCCTTTGCCACTTCCTTTTGGCTTTATCCCCTTTTTTGCCTTTCCATGATTATAAAGCCCTATTTCTCTGCATGCACTGTCTGTGATTTTTATTTATGTGGTGTTAAGTTCATAACAGACAAGTGCTTCATGAACAGAAGGGGCTTGATGAAATCCAGCAGCTGAAAGCTGGAGCAGAATGCAGTCACACCAGAGGTAAGGTGCAGATCCTTTTTTCTTTCATGTAATGAGTATTTAGCTTTTAGGACACCTTAGCCAGAAACTCATTTCTTCTTAGCTTGCAGTCTTTGTGCCAGGATTTACAGTGATTCTAAAAAGAAGGTGGCTGAACTGGTAACATAATAAAGAAATAAACAGAGATGTTCTGCCACGTGCACTGTGGTTATTGCTCAGTCAAACATCACAAATTCTACCAGTAAATGCCAGGTAAAAGTAGCAGATTAGACCCTTTAGAAGTTCAGAGTCTGGTCCTGCTTTGGTATGTATGGCCTCGACATGTGCAGCCTGAGCTCTCAAATCAAACTACAGAGTGTCCCCAAAGTCACTGGAGATACAGCTCCAGTTTTAACAGAGGGGCATCCTTCTTCTCTTATTAACTCATTTCCTTTTAATCTGCGGAGGAGCCAAACCCTGCTTTGGGGTATATTCAGGTTTGTCTTATTTGTCATAAATTTTTCAAGACCTGTGCTACACTGATGACTTTTTAATTACAAAAGAAATCCAGAATACTTTGTTATGCAGCAATGAGATATGTGGTTAAACCAGCCAGTTTAGTACATGTGCTTTTGCTGCTCTGCAGAAATACACAAATGCACACTTGGAAATCCTCTTGCTGATATGTCAGCATTTTGAAACTTCTCCAGTGTGAGGTTAGCAGGGTTATTTTCCTTTGTCTGGGGTTTAAAAACACTGCTCCCAACCTGGTATCTGGGTAAGATAAAATTAGTCCAATGAAGGTAGGAAGTTGACTTTTTTACCTCTAGCAGAAACACTTCTTGACTGCGTAATTCAAAATTGTTTTAAGCAATCTTCTCCTTCTCCCACGGCAGGGAAGAGTAGTAATTTCCCACTGCCAGAGGTGACACAGCCCAGAGCCAGGCATATGGGAAAAGGCCTGTGGAGAGACAATGGTGAGTATCTGCACAAAAACAGGGCTCAGAATATAGGTTCATGGGTATAAATAAAGTAATGCAAAAGCAAAGCTGATATGAAGTTTTTGCATTATTATTTGCAGTAAAAGTAGGAAAGGGATTCTGATAGGTACTTTGGTATTATTATTATTATTATTATTATTATTATTATTATTATTATTATTACTGAAATTATTATTTTGCTGAAATGAAGGGAAGGGACAGTAAGAAGAGGGTGCAGAAGAAAGGTAACTAAAACATGTAAATTTAATGAGTTTGTTTCTTTTCCTCCTAAGGGACCAAAGATGCAGAAGGGTGCTGGTACTCTGTCAGCCCACGTGCCCTCCTCTCCCCACCAGCTTCACCCTGGTGAAGTTCCCCTTTTTAGGAACGCAGGGAGGGCAGTGCTCCCTGCAGGGATGAGAGCTTGTGATCCTGGGTAGGAGCCACTTTAACCAAGAAACAGTGACTTCAAGCTGCAATTCACCTGGGCAGGTGCCCATCTGTGCATGGCAGGAAGCCTGTGGGTGCTGCTCCTTCCTTGGCCCAGAACTCGAGTGTGAGGAACCAGAGAAAACATAGTGCCCTGTTTGTTTACTCTCCACCCTGCTAAAATGCATGTGGTTTCACTTCTTTCCTTTGTAATAAATTGTGCCCACCACAGCGTACACTGTTTTAAATAACATTTTAAAATATTTTCCGGTAAATTAAAGTGATGACATGTTTGTAGGGTTCATTGTTAATTTCATTTCCTTTGGCTCAGCCAGCCAGATAAAATGCAATGTTATTAATCTTTGTTTAAAAGAAGATCCTTTGCCGAACAGTAATAAATGATCTTGATAGATTTGTCAGGAAAATGAATGATAATCATTTGCAGATAGACACGAGCCTAGTATGGAAGATTAATAAGAAAATATGTATTGGCGTCATTAATAACATCTGCTGCCAATGGACTCGTATATTGGTTGCAGCCCTGAGAGCGATGTGTTCTTGTTAGGCTGCTGCAATCCATCCCATGCTGTGAGGAGCTGCTCGGTGCTCCCGGGGCGATGACAGCCTGCT